AGGAAGCCTTTACACCTCCACTACTAACTAAAAACTAAAACATTTTTCTCATTACTGGTTACGGGGAATGGTGTTAATAGCACAAACATTCAAGTAATTTATTTAAGGTAACTATCTTGTTTACCAAAACTTCACCCCAAAAGTTTGTATGTACAAAAATAAATGATAAAGGATCATCTATTTTCTATTTTCTCTAAAGTGGCTCATTATTTTGCATTTGTCTCAATTTCTTCCTCTGTTCCTACATTTAGGTTTGAGTATAAATGGGTAAGACCAGTTCCAATAATTTAGACAAAACAGGGCATAAAAGTGTGTAATGTAAATACTGAAGGATATTTGGGATTGTTGTGGCGGTATAAAGGATCTTGCCCTTCATTTAAGCAGTGTTATGAACCAATTTGCTTCATTTCCCTTTATTTCATTTAGAAATGGACATTTACAAGGCATCTGACTTTAGTCCGATGCATACTGAAATATACAGACGGCCCTGATGTGACACAAAACAATTGTGCGCCACGTGCATCGTTTTCAGCACTCACAATGTTTACACGAGCATGTCAAATGAACCGCTCTCTGCAAAAAAGAGCCGTGTTACTACAGAGAGGATTGTTAAGAACATAATGTGTTTTTGTCATATTGCTGTTGTGTTAAGAAGAGCCACCACTCTTCTCGTTTCAATTGTTGCAGCGCTATACTAAAACACATGCTGCTGCTAATGCCTCTACACGCTGAAACCCTACCGGAGCACATCAAGGGACAACAGAACGGCACCACAGTGGGAGCCAACTCGGCCGTATTGGAAGACAAAAGCTGGAGGGCAGCTGTTTGCATGCCCTCAAAAAACACATGAAAGTGTGCAGCCAAACACACACACACACACACACACATACACACACACACTTATATACACAGATTTTTCATTTCAGCCAAGCAATGCGCAAAATCTCGTCACATATCATTGTGAATGAAGACAGTCAAACTAACCCTCCCAGAGAAAACCGTCACACACAAGTTGTGTGTGTGTTGAATCCACGGGGAATCATGCTTTGTATCTGTAACTTTGCAAAGGGAAACTTTTGTTACATGAGTCCACAAGGTCCTTACGCGAAGACCTGGGTTCTGCTTTGCTTGTAGACGCCACAACACCTTTTATACCGGATTCTGACAGGAGCCAACTATAAGCTAATAATTCTGACCATTAGGAATTTAAAACAAACATTCACTTTTTTTTTGATAAAAGGGATCAGAGAAAGCAGGACTGCAGAGGGGACCGATCAGAAAAAGTTCAGGTTGGAGTGAGGGGATTGAACACAAGATGGAGCTGCATACATCACCATAGGAGACTGCAAGATGCCTTTTAGACTGCTGATAACTACAGTCAACAACAGATTTTCCAAAACTATTTGTGCTGTCGCACAGATCTGTGTAAATTCATGAGACAGTAAAAGGAAAAGGAAACCATGTCTTTATCCCGCCGGGGGGAGTAAACGGAAATGAAATGGAATTACGATGAACAAGAGAATTGAAAGGTTTTCACCGGGAGGAAAACCCACTAGAAGCTGTTGTTCAGCGTCACAAGATCAAAGAACAATTTTAGATATACCCTAAATAAACTCCTCTTCGTCACTGAATGTGGCTGCCATTCCTTGTGTGTTGTGCAAAATAAAGGGAGTGGGGGAGGGCGGGGGGGCGGCATTTCTACATTTAAAATCCTACATGGCCAACTCATTCAGTGTATTCACCCTCTGTACTTTGTTTTATAGAGATCTTTTATTCATGTCGAGTGGAGGATTTGGTTATTATTGTCTCTAAGGTGACATTTTGATGGCTTTTATAGAGCACTGATTTGCTCTGCGGCTATAGACAATAGAGCTTGTCTAAGTGCAGTTTTTCTGTCAGCAAATGGAGTGAGCTATTGTGAAAATGGACGAGAAAAAATGGAGTAACTTCAAACTGAAAGTTTTTATGTTGCGTAAACTATAACGATAACTAAATCAAGCATCTTCAAGTCAAGTCACCACAGATATTGCTGCATTTTTAGAGTTTTGTCTTTTGTTAATGAAAAGGTCCGCAGGCGTCAAACTACATGATGGTTACTTATTTTGAACGGGCCAGAGGAGCTCATATCATGGATGTAATTGATAACATAAGGCAACAAAACCAGCTTATGATGATAATGAATAATAACCCCTTTAATCTAACCCCGCGGTGCATTCAGTAATAATATATTCACACTGTGTACTACATGCCTACACATTATTTCACTGTTCACTACACAGTTTGTGATGTTGTTTGTGTCATTTTGTTCTTTTAGGGGGGTTTTTGAGTGAAGAATGTACACCTATTTTGTTTTTTCTTATCCCACCTTACACCTCCATGCACTGTGTACCATCCTGACAAGTTATAGAACATCATTTTATCCAACACAATGGCTCTCTCAATTTGTCTCTACCTCCCTCGCTCACTCACTCTCCCTCCGACTCCAGACTCTCTCAGAAATTGTCACATTTTCAGAAGGTTGTTCAAAGTTATGGATTTGTTAGCCTCCGCTGTGCTTGTTGTTCTTACCCATCCATTTATTCTTTGAAAGGACAATTGAACATTTGAACAACGAAATATTGGGAGAGGAAGACTACAGGACACGGATAAATGTGATTGTGAACATATTTGTTGTAAATGTGTGCTTTTAAAAAGCTAAAGGCAAAGGCTTACCCCAAAATAACAGACCCCCCCAAATATTGGATCGATTGCCGTTTGTACAGACGTTCATGGTCTCCAGAGGATGGAGCCCGATAACTTTCCCTGACTTCCCAATTGGCAACACCATGAGCTCAATATCTAAATCGGTCTAGTACGTTAATACATGGCATTGATTTAACAGCAAAACTTCTGCCTCCCTTCAGCCTCAGCTTTAAGTTCTCTTTCATACTAATTAGGAAAAATTCAAATGTCACCATGTTATTGTTCGTCTGTCCGCATAATGATGTTAGCATTCGGCTCGATGCACATTCAGCCAAAGCTGTCCTACAGCTGTTTGACAATCAACGACACCGTTACAATATCCCACATAACTCATGGAATTACATTTTAAATAGCGGCTTTCAAACTATCGAGTCATTTCAGTGAGCCGACGGTGTACACACAGTAGCTATACTAAATAATAAAAAACACAACCCTGTGACCCACGATCTATGAAGAAAAAAAACTAATCTGTGCTGTGTGTGTCAGGTTATCCAATCGAGCCGATTTTCACACACTGCTCGGCTGCGACATAATAGGTAACACAGACCCCTGAAACAGTTTGAACGTAATAGTAACCAGTAACAATCATATGTCAGCATATATATATATATATATATATATATATATATATATATATATATAGCATTCAACATTCACTATTTCATCTGGGAGAATTGAGAGTTTGAAAATAGTGAGTTCCTCTTTGTTTTTTGTTAGATTTTTCACACGTAGTCTTTTCATCGACTGCTTTGCGGTCAAACAATCTGTGCAACAGACTCAAGTTTTAATAATTAATTGCCTCTAAAAACCACCCGTTCGGAGAGCTAACATTGTAAAACAGAGCAGTGAACGAGGATAAATGAGCAGTGCAGGATATGTGTACGTGCCTCACACACTCCTTAGAGGTTGGCGGACACAGAACGCGCACAACCCACGCGTTGATGCAAATGTCTTTGTCACATTTGTGATGAGGTGCAAAATGTGGCAAAATACGCTTTGTTTTCAACATTATTCGCGGGTCGTTGAATGGAAAAGTCACAACGATGATACATTCTGTCACAAATCCTTAAGATTTCTAAGGCTCCCCGGGGAAGTGATTGTGACCTTTTCACAGAGAGCAACTCCGCGGGGTCTCGTCACACTTTGATAACAGACGGAAAGAATATGACACGATCTCATTTGATAGTAGTCACTCTTCTAAGCCCTAATTAAAAGTAATGAAGGTCATAAACAGAATAAGGCTGTAAAGTCATTACTCATCCTAATGCGTGGGGTCCAAAGGGAATATTCATGATATATGAAGGGTTTATAATACGGGGCGGTGATAGGAGGAATTAAAGATGGACACGCTGTTAGGATAACAGCATTTTGTGATACTATTGCCAGTAAATGCAGCTTTCTTCTTGATTGACTAATGAAATAAATACTGTTACCATCATTATTGAAAACATTACCACCCAATCATCAGATAAGTATATCAAAAGGTTAAGCTTTTATCCCAAGTGAAATTCTGTCAGCTGCAGGATAAACATTCCATTTAAAAAATGTAATTTATGCAAGTCCAGTGTTCAATGTCTGGCAGGAGAGATGTTACTCGTCTCTGAAGAATAAAGAGCTTTCTATAACTTCTGCTCTGAGACATTAAACCACAAACCAGCACAGAGGGCAAACAGTGTCAGCTAAATGCAATGCAAGTTAATGTCATACAAGACACATTTTTAAAATATAGCATTATTAGCATATTGTATTATTATCTTATGCAAGCTACTGGCTCCCCTTGAAAAGAAGGTGAACCAAATGAGGGAAAATAAAGAGCTAAACCGAAACCGACGTGAACATACTGCAGGTGTGTGTATGGTTTGTGCCCCAAATAATCTACTTTTATTTTTATTAATTTTCTCATGAAGACGTTGTACTAAATCAAACTGACGGTTCTCACAATTAAACAACATTACAATTTACATAATTAAATCCAATTTAAATGTTTGGAAAGAAAAATAAATTTATTCAAAAGAGCATTAGTTGTTCAGTCTTTCCTATGTGTGTGTGTGTGTGTGTGTGTGTATGTGTGTTCCCTTTATATCTTTCATCGCGGCAAAATGAATGAGTCAATTAACTGCATCCTGTAGAATTTAAAAAAGTAAACAATGACAAGCGTTGAGAAGATTTACTTCTATTGCAACTATCTGCTTTGCACAGGAGGTGTTCACCGCAAAGCTGCAGCGCTACACTTTTGTCTCACTTCCTGCTGTCTCCGTCTCTCCACCCCGCTCGTTGACCACAGTTCGACAGTCTACTCTTTCTGTGTCGGCCGACTCCCTCGGCGGATTTAGCCCGATTGATAGTAATGAGTTTGGGGCGCTCAGACATGGTTGGAGTTGCCCTGGGAACGGCCTTCTCCCTCCTGCTCCTTGCCTCAATAACACAAGGTAATCCTACACATGTGCTCTTCCCATGTCATGTAATATACCGGCAACTATGCGATATTCCCCATGGGTTGGAAATCGGTACTGGCTCGTGGTGTGACAAGTTCTCTCAATACAATGCTGTGATTGTGTCCGCCTGCATCCCAGCGGACTGCGGTCTGTAATACCAACATCAAATTGCAAGTGGATTATGTCTCCTCACTTCTCCATCGCTATCTGATTTGCTCGACAGGGTACAAGGATTTTAAAATATTCCATCATGAAAAGATCGAAGCAGTACTGGGCCAGAACGTTACGTTGCCATGCACCGTAAAAAGCAGTTCTACTGTCGTGATTGTGAATATCGAATGGAGAAAGAAACAACATGAAGACACAAAGCTGGCTGTGTACACCCCAGGTCATGGACTCCATCTATTTTGGCCTAACATCACTTTGCAGATCGAGAATAACTCGATGGGCTCCCATCTTCAGCTTTACGGAGTGACAACGCAGGACAGTGGTATCTACATTTGTTACATTACAAGTTTTCCTCATGGCTCCTACTGGAGAGAAACAGTGCTCGAGATCGAAGGTAAGACGACGGCAGGTACACGCTAAGCCGCACCTGCTCAACACAACTAGACAATGTAAGATAGAGCTGCTCAGTAACTTTCCATCTTAATGTCCCCTTGATGTCCCCATGTTGCCCCTGATTGCATCACGCCTCTGCCAATCTCATATTTGCTTCTGAGCTACTGTGTGTAATAATTGCAAAGACATGTCTAAAGGCTTTGTTCTCCATGCTTTTCATCCCTCCATTTAGCTCACTCCGTTTTTCATTTAGCAGTCTAATGACGCAGGCACAATTCACACGCACCTTCTATCGAGCTGAAGCTTAACCGAAGCGTTGGTATAAACAATAGAGGCAGAAGAGGCTTTTCATGTGTCCTACATCTGACATATTGATTTTGATATTTTATACAAGTTGTCAATCCTTATCAATCTTCAATTTCCTCTCTATTAGATGACGTTGATATTACTTGTGATGAGGATAGCGCAGTCGAGGTCCATGCTGGAGAAAATGTGACCATTAAGTGCCAACTGTTCCCTGATGCAAAGTACAAGTGGACCAAGGTATTGTAAGAAATCTCATTATTGAATTTATATCATCGAGAATCAATATGATTAGATTAACTGACATCAAAACATATAATCCACACAAAACATCTGTATTAAGAAAGGTATTAATACACGGCACATGATCTCGTTCTTCCCTAGAATAAGGCGCTGGTGTCAGACAGCGACTCCCTGGAGCTCTGGTTTGTGGCTGATGCTCACGCAGGGGTTTATGCACTGACCGTCAACATCGGAAACAAGACTGTGCATAAAGAGTTTGTCATCACGGTGCTGACAGCAACCACAAGCACCAGGACGGGTGAGCCTCTCCATTTCTATGCAGTTATTTCACGTTCAATTTGAGTGTTTCCGCAGAGCGGGATGAACAATCTAGCAGAGGAGAGAGCCCAAGAGAATGACTGAATGACATCATAAACTGCACTGGACCAAAGAATACTTGACTTTTATTATCTAGCGGCACTCGCTCAATTTAATCATTTAATTGGCTGAAAGTAAAAGGGAGAGATTCAAAAGGATTGCCCGCCATGTTTTTGAGGACACACCAGTGACTATACAGAGTATGCTGGGAGCTGCACGACTTTACAGGTGGAACAGTTTACTTTATTTAAATTATTTAATTTAAAGTGGAAAATTTAGGTGAATATTGTACTAAGCTAAACTAAAACAATAGTTATAGTTTTAGATTGTAAAAGAAAAAAATAATACTACACTGAAGGGCCTTCAGTTGCCTGTGTTCAACAGGAAAATGATACTCAACTTTCTTCCTTCTCTTCCTGTCTTCGTGTTTTCTCAACCTGTACCAAAATAAAAAAAGCGCAAGCCACACATACGTCACATAAGTCACTTCCTGCTCTCTCCTTCTGTCTACTCAAACCGCACGAAGAAACACAGCAGCCTCAGCAACAGTCTTTGAATCACTACACGGGGAAAGAGCACAACCTGTCGGACATGGAGGAGTACTGCAGCTCAAATGAAAGCTTGAAAAATAATGTATTGTGTAATGTATTTGATCACAATGCAGCGCAACATTTTTACTTAATTATTCCCCTGAATGAAGGATAAGCGGCTTATGAAGATGACTGACTACTTAATTATTCATGGATCATTCAACGTGGATCTGTCCTGACGTAAATTAGGAGGGTAGAAAACGTAGTGACAATTTACGCACAATAGATTATTTTAGACATTAATTAAGGCTACATCCACACTAATACATTTTTGTTTTAAAACCAGGGTTTTTAAGAAGTATATTAGTTGATTAGTTACAGAAAATACAGTTAAATTTGGGTGTTATAGTATTGTATAGTATTGGGGTCTTCACATGAAATGTAGTACTTTAATTGTCCTCTGGTTAAGCCCATCCAGTGTACATGTAGCAAAATATATAGGCTACTGCATTTTAAAATGGAAATAGTGTGCACAGACTACACCAAACTATTGAATTAAATTGGTTATTCATTCCCACAGCTTTGCCGGCTGAATCCGTGCCCAAGGTTTCACAGTCGTAGTTCTTAAATAATCCCTATTGATTATGCACCGAGTGGCCTCTTAAATGCCAACTCTGTCCATGTTTTAATCATGTAGAACTGTGTACTGGGTATTTCAAAGTTTTTTTAGTTCCACTTCCACGTTCAACTTTCAAATGTGAAGCTTGTTGAGGAAATTGTCCAACGCGTCCAACAAAAACCAGGTTGCAACATAGAAATTATTTTAACAGAAGTTAAGTGCTGGAATATTTCTTAGCAGGTAGAAATTGCAAGTTGCGACTTTAGGAAATAACTGTAGCTGCTTAAAAAAATGTTCCAGAACATTATTGGACTCCTTTTACTCCTATAAAAAAATCGGTTTCACATTTCTGCCTGTTTTAGATTAAACAAACCATAACCTTTGGAGTTTCTTATAGGCAGATTGTCAATAAACTGTTTTGATTCTTTATTCTTAAGCAGCCATATATTTATTCCCCAAAATATGCCAATTACTTGAAGGCCGCTAACACGCACTTTTTCCCGGCTGCAGTTTTCCATGTCAGGTATTACTCTTTTTGACACGGTGGAGCTCTGAGAAAGAAGGTCGACAACATCAGAACAGTGCAGGTGACGCTTGCTCACAGCATATTTATTCCATGTTTTTCTACTTTCAGATCTTGAGACGGTCACGTCACAGTCTAATTCCACCGAGGAGGGTTGGATGGAATCAGCAGCCGGCGGCCTTACCACATCACCGACCACCGCCCGGTCAAACACTGACCCCGGTGTTACTCAGGCCGTAAAGACGAGCACTGACGTAAAAGATGTCACGGCTGCAGAGGACGTGACCTCTTTTACAAATTCCACACACGAGGGTGTGACGGCATCCCCCGCCACTCACAATCATCCCTACGTCCTCAACAACTCCACCGACCAGGAGCTACACACAACTCACAATTTTACCACATTCGCTCTTCCTGATCGCAATCTGTCCACCACATTGAGTCACAGTGATGAGGTTTTCGGATCAACACACGAGACAAAGAATGAGTCGGTGGAAGACGGCCGTGGTCCCGCCCCAACTCTGAACACCGGGAGCACGACAGGGGTTGTTGAGAATGAAGGTGATAATTAGCATTTCTCACACACAAGCACATTTGATTGAAAAGAAAACAATACAAAAAACGTTTAAAAATAGCAAGTAATTACAGAGAACAGCACTAATTGCACCCAGATCCTCCTAAGAAAGAAAAAAAAAACAGCCACAGCTCCTTTGATTACCCTGTCTCTTCCCTCATCCACAAATAAACGCTGGACACATTCCAGTTTTACCCGCCTGAGGCTAGATGCATTTTAACAAGGTATGAATCTCAATAGAGAGAAGAGTGCAACTTGCTGAGCAGGAGGTCGGCGAGACACGCTTCTCTGCTTACAGGCAAAAAGGCTTTGTAGCCTTGAATGGAATATTTGTTGGAATCTGCAGGTTTTAGTAGAGCAAGCTGAACGATATCTTAGAAAAATAGATTTTGCTGTGGACCAAAATGAACCCATTTCCCCTCCCTAAATTTTGATCCTCAGGTACTGGGGGCGCGAAGAGTCATCTGATGTTGTTGGTAATTATTGTTCCAGTCCTGGTGTTGATAGCCGCCGTTGGCTTCCTCTACTTCAGACAAAAACAGAATGAGAGGTAAAGCTATCCATGCAAGTACCCTCTACACCTGCTAATATATCAGTATTATTTATTATTCATGTGTCCATTTTTGGATACAACTAACGTTCTAGCAAAGGCACAAGTTAATATTCATGCTCTCTGTGCAGGTTTAATCTACCGCCTCCGTTCAAACCTCCTCCTCCTCCAGTCAAGTACACAGCTGCAAGACCCCGCGAGGTCTCGACACACCCTTTTGCCACTTCAAGGTGCAACTCTGTGACTCAAGTTTAAGATATAAAACCAAATGATTGTTAAAGCATAATGCAAATCTATTGCCAATGACAGTTGATACATTGAATGTGCGCTGTATCCTAATTTGGTTACATGCAGAATTACAAAATGCATCACCTGCAGGTATAGAAAGTGAAAAATGCAGCTATGACAGAGGCAATTGTGCAAATGTGGGCTTTGCCCTCAGGGGAGTCCTATTCTTTTGTAAACAAAGTTGCGTAAATATTCCCCATTTTTCTCCAACTTCAAAAATAAACGTTTAATTTAACCCTGGGGAGCTGTGGCTCAGGGGGGAATAGAAAATCAGAAGCAAGAGGACTCTTAACGCCTAGTTGCCCCTCGAAGGCTTCGTCCATGGTAAAAGAATGTGCGTGAAGGGTTGGTTAGTGGTGATGGGCCCCTTGCATGGTAGCCCTTGCCTTATGTGGGTGTGAATGGGGGAATGACATTTAATGTTAATGTTAAATGAGCATGGCAGGGAAAGTGTTTGTGTTATTTACCTTCTTTTGCCGTATTCTTGCAATATTCTATATGAATTATTGTGTCTTTCTAAGCTTCAAAATTGTATGCTGCAATAAATAAACATTATATTTTCATGAAATAAAGAATTAAACATTATTTTTCCATAAAACAACACTGCAATCGTTAGTTTCCACTTCTTTCTTTTGTCACTCATAGCTAGGATTTAGGTTTTCTTGTCCAAATGTCCTGTGACTCTTCTCAATTTTTGTAGCGGTATTTAAATAGACGACCACTGTTGTCCACATACCGCAGAGTGACCAAAAACCACATGGTCTAACACATTGCATCCACCTGATACCATCACACACAGCACTGGAAATGTTAATATAGCTTGTCATATTTTTCAGTATTTACACGGTTTATCGTTTTCTATTTTATTCTTGTCGGTAGACCACACAAAGCGCTTCATTCGGTCTCAGCTGATTTTTTTTTTTTTTCCCATGCAGAAATAGTCACAACCACTTGTGCATTTAGCTGTTGTGAGAAACCTTCCAATTTTTCCGACCACAGTAGCAGAGTCACAGCGTTCTCAGTGTGAGAGAGCATGAACACAGACCACCACTATGATGCACAAAGCTCAACTGGACCAAATTCACAGCGATTTGCTCACTTTCAGGGAATTGACAAAGAAGGTCATGTATGTGCAAATATGTGCAAATATTTAGTCTTTAGTTCATTTCAGCGTTAGGTTAAGTACATTAGGGCTTCAACTGGGGATTTCATTTTTTTTTTATTTCCAGAGCATTTAAAAATTCTTATTTTTTTAAATTCAAATATTTGTAGGGTCGTTTTAATTGTTTTTATTTATGTGCCGACATTTCATTACAACATGAATGTTGAACTTCCCAATGAAATGTTTAGGAAATCCTTTTAATCATTACCTAGGCATATATTTTAGAGCGTGTTGTCACGATGGGATTGAGACCGGGTGTCTCGGAATGAGGTTACGTTGCTTCCTGTTTGTAACTGAAGAGCAGACTTTTCAAAGCACTGAGACAAGAGAGACGTAACTAAGGCAGAGTAAAAATAGACTGCAGCGTAGCTCACCTCCCTGCTGAAACACGTTGGTGTCCTGAAGTCTCGTTCTACACGGCTGCAACATGACGGCAGGTAGGATCTTCTCAAATTTGATTCACATTTACAGTAAGTTTGTTATTGCAAATTTTGTCTTAATGTTGTATATTCTAGTATAGCACTTACCAAACAAAACAAATAAGCTAAATCCTTTCTAAAGATTAGGACACGGAACATGATATGACAAACTGTGAAATAAAAAACAGTGAGATGATAATCATGAAGCTCTTTCGAAAGTATTAGAGGATTCACACATAAACACACACACACACACATACTCTCCTGTTTGTCGAGTTTGTAGGCCCTAAGTAGTGTTATCATACCATGTGGCATGCGCTTTTAATATCAAATTATTTTTAAATTAAGATACATTTACAATGAGACTGTTTCCAGTTAAAAGAAGAACCATTAAATGTGTCGGTATTGTTCAGCTGAAGTTGCTGCACTGCATGTTTCACAAATATGAATGAATAGCATAATTTAACGGTTTCTCTCTGTTTTTCACCCATTTCACATCTAAAAGCCAGCGTTTGAAAATCTTTTTACCTACATCTTTGTTTGCCGCGTTGGTGTTGTGTTTGTCTTTTAGGCCTCTTGGCAGGTCTGGGGGTGTTATCGGTCGCCTTGTTCATCTCTATATGTATCAATGTCATCTTGTGCCTCAATCGAAGAACCAATTTATGCAGAGGTACTGTTCAGTTACACGTGAAGTCATTGCTTTTTTCAAACGTTGTCACAATTTATTCTTAACCTTTCAGCTTTTACAAGGCAATCTATAAATTGATATATTTATTATTTTGTTCATACAGAGATGCACGAGTTCTGGCTCACATACATTTGTAGCGCAGAAAGGTACGCTTTTTATTTATTCATTTAGTGCCAATGATTGTTTAGTCCGAACACATCTGAATTTGTCGTACGTTATGTGAATTCTAGTAATGTTACTTTATGATGTGCAATAGAAGAATACTTTCTGTTCTTCCACATCTTGTTAAAGCCCGTCAGAAAATAAAGGACATTCTTTTCATAACATCAACGTTGAGGAGCAGCAGGAAGATCATTGGCTAGAGGAAAATCCAATTTATGGCAACATCAACTCAGACAGAAGAGGTGAGAATCGCCATTTGTTCAAATAATAATAACAATGTCATTGTTTCCTTTTTAGCATTTGAAGAGTAGTGTATTATTGCAAATGACATGTGGACAAGTTTTTAAAAAAAAATCACTGTGTATTTAAACAAAATGTGGTTTAACTCCAAGCAGGTTACATGCTAGTTAATAATAGTTACATGCATAAATAAATGCAATTAAGCTATATTTCCAATGTCAACATTTCAAAATGTAGCTGTGTTTGTTATAATTCAGTCAGAGGACAAACATTTCTCTTTTCTCACTCACAATGTGTATACGCACCTATTTTGATTAATATCTGTAAAACAGATCAAATCCTCTGTTTCACTTGTTCAGATTCTGTGGAAGCTTGCCATGAGATAATGACCATGCAACACGCAGGAGATCACGCGAAGGTAACTCTGCTCTGACTGCTTGTTAAGACCTGTGTCTGTGGAGATATTACGTACTTTCCGAAACATTTGATAGCCTGTGCAAGGAATCATCACTGCACAGTGGAAAAGACTATTGTATACTACATGCTTCTGTGGGTTGGGTTGCATGTTCCCCTGCTCTATATTATTCAATTTTACTCATTATACTTGCACAACAATGATTCAATTGTTAAACCTGTCCAAAGCTTTGCATCTTTGCTCCCGGCGACTGAGGTGTGTGAGCAGAGTCGTCCTCTGCTAGTTAATGTCCATGCGTTCTTTGGGACGACACTTCACCCCCAAATCCCTGTTTGAATGATTAGTTAGGAGTTGTGATGGGCAGGTGGCACCTTGCATGCTGGTCCATGCCATCGGTGTGTGGAAAGGTAAATGAGTTAAAGCGCTTTGTGTAGTCAGAAGACTGGAAAACAACTGCGCAAGTACAAGTCAGTTTATAATCCTGAAATGTAAATAATATAATATGCACTAAAGCAACTGCTGCTTTTACCAGTCACTTGACTACAAATTGTAAGTCCTTATAATGTAGTATATTTGCTCAAAAATTCACACTGAAACTAAAATGTGATGGCGTGCATCTGATGTAAAAATACACACGCGGGTTGCAGACCAGTTAAAACCCCAACTGACAGGTTTGCTTTCAAAACGGAAGGCAACACCATTCACATTGTGGTCAATGAAACTAAACCAATGAACACAATCAAGCACCAACGTTCTAAAAATAAAATCTGATTTACAGAAATACACGACAACCAAAACCCACAAGATCTAGACTATAATCATTGAAAGTAATGCAAAAAACATCTCCCGTTTCACAGAGGTCTTCCCAGGCCGACCTTAATTACGCCTCGCTGGACCTGAAGATGGCGAAGAAACGCGGGAAGAAGAATCGCCACCAGCAAAGCCCGACTCAGCGCCGCAGCAAACTTCAAGATGAGCCGCCGGCGCAGCTCACGCCGCCTGCGAGTGCTTTCTTGGAGGTAGAAGCAGACGTGGATGCTCACCTGCCTCCCAGAGACACCATGCTTTCGCACAGTAGCATCTACCTGAACAGTCAGCAGATCGCCCAAGAGACGGAGGACAGGGAAAGGGATTGTGAGGCAATTAGAAAGAGGGAGGACGGGCGCAGTGCACAGCGGAATGGAGAACAAGGCGGTAGCAGGATTGTGTGCACACAGCGGACAGAGCTGGAGGCCTTTCAGAGCGGCAGGTCGTTTCATAAGTAGCTTCAGCCACGAAATCGACAGGAATCGTGTCGTAAGACTCATGAAAGGGACAAAGGTAAATCTCTGTTGCTGCGTTTGCATTGATGACCTTCAATACACAACCGGCTTTGCGCAATTTCGTTTTTGATGCGAACAAAACTGCCACTCGAACTCTTAGTGTTGAGCGTCTTAGGAACAAAAAGGTGCGCCTCTGTGCGCAGAGGATGTAATACACGTAGAGGATACAAAGAGAAAGGAAACAGGGTGACATTTAGAGGTCAAATGCCACGCGGAAATTTGCCATTTCTTGCAAAAGACAAGGAAAACATTATCACAGGACACGACAGGTCTTTTTTTGATGTCTCACCAGCAGACGTCAACAGTAGTCTCAAGAAGCAGGAAGGGGGAAAAAATCATCCATTTATTTTCCATCCTGTAGGAAACTTTAGTGAGCAGATATTGAATAAATGTTGCCTACGCATATGAGAATCAGCCTTTCAGTTATACAATGACTATAGATAAATATTCATGAGTTAAGCATGAGAAATGAAATAAGTGGGATATGGAATTAATGTCATCTCATTTTCCCTCTCGGCCCATTGTCGTGTAATTGTCACCCGCAGAAGCTTTTACGCATTTAAGTTACGATAATGTTCATGAGCTTCATAATCTACGGCACTATAGTGAGCTAATGCGCCGCCTGCTAAAACTGTTATTTCCCTATCTGCAATCCCCACTTGGGGAAGATAATTCACTGCCATGTTAACTGCTGAGTGAGCGGAGCTCTGAAGGGAAAACCTCATCTTTCATAAAGACTCTCACTTTATCGTCATATTAAAATTATAACGAGCGTGATTTTGTCACATGTCAGACATGAGCAGTCGACATAATTGCGAGGAATAATTGTATCTGTAACTACATTATACCGTGTGTCATTCACCTGCATTGCACAGGATATTTCCTTTGTTGCTGCGGGTAACATAATTAGAATGGGTCATTTATTTCTTCAGAAAGGCAAAAGAACCAATTGAGCAGATACGGGAACAAAAAGATTAATTTGGACAGTTTGTGAATGAGGCCCGCTGACTGCACATTGCACGTCCTCTTTTACAGCATCAGTAACTCTGCAGGAAGAAATAACGCTCTTCATTCGCCTATAGCAACAGCGTTTTCTCCTTCAGCATCCTGCAAAAAAGCGATTGTATCAATGACGATAGATGGAGGCTCTACAGTTGATGTTGGCAGCATCTCCACCACTTAACCAGCTATGCTCCTCTCATTGTGTTCTTTTAATGCGTGGCGCACACACTCGTGCTGTGAAGCTGCGAGTGCACTGATTTGAAGAAGAGTTCTGCCAAGCTGACTACTCTTTGGGAAAATCTGCATTTCACTTTAACTTGTAACCAAGTGAAGAATTAAAGATAGTCCAAAATAAAGTTGCATGCTCAAAGCTATCATATGGTTGAGGCGACATACTGGTTAGTAATTTAGTCAGAAAAAGAATGAACTAAGGGTGTTCATGCTAACTCAGAAACCACACACACGCAAACATGCTTACACACGCACACACCGTGAGAGAAAGTACAAAGGAGCTGTGTGTGCCAGGTTTCAAAAAACAGCCGCTGAGGCCGATCCCTCTTGTAGAGGAGCCTGACAGGAGAGCAGCGGCGGTCAATCGACACGACTGCTTGTCAAAAAGCCCCTCTGGTAACCAGAAACACAAAGTGAATGAGAAACATACTACACTTGTAACAAAGGTTTCATGGATCCCTCGTCTCAGGTGACGTTAAGTGGTGTTTCCATTTGATCATTTTTAAAGTGAGCAGAGAGGAGAAAATGGACTCAACGTCTATGATCATATGGACACTTTTAGTGTTATAAATGTTGATTTTTTATATTTTTCATGTGCATTTTTATGGAAATAGGTCACTCGTAATGATGTTTAAAGGTGTACTATGCAGCAATTCCTTAGATTTTTTTTTTAAAAAGGTTCAATTGAACACCCTCTCAGGTCGGAACAACCACTCTGAAACAACTCTGGAACATATTCTGAGGAATAAAACACACACACACATGTCCTTTGTAACAGCCACATTGCCTTTGTATTAGTTGGCTTAACTCGTGGACAATCCGAGCAGCATAGGCAGCATTGTCTGCCCTCTCTAAATGCCGTCAGTGTTTCATTATGAATTGCTTTTAGTGTCTGTGCCCATCATATTTAATGGCTGCTTGAAAAAACGCTGCAGTGTCTTGGGCTTTTTGGCGAGCATAATAAATTATCAATATAAATATGTATGATGTATGACCTTCCCTGAAAGGTTCGTTCATAACAAAATAATAATATAAATTATTTGTACAATATATCAATAGCATTTTTAGCCATTGCAGTTTCAGCTTGAGCTGTGTAGCCTATAGATAAATTATTTTTGATTCATTTGATATAAATTATTCATTTCTTGAAAAAATACCTTGCAGAATAAAACGTGCATATGTTTAAAGGAATTCATTTGTGTATTTGTCTGGAAATCTGTTATCCAACGAGTTACTGGAGAAGTGATGAAACAAACCTTGGTGACAACACATATAGTAGCTCTGTTTTTCATACATACAGAATACTGAGAAACTCGTTATTAAAATTGGCTTTAAAAACATACTATATTTGCACCTTTAATTGAAACCACACTGACTTTATCAAAAAGATGCTGTTCGCCCTACAAGCCATCAAAGCTCTTCCTGCAGAGCACCAACAACGGCACCAGGTGACGCCTCCTCCTGCAGCTCATAGACGATCTTTGTTAGCAAAATGGCGGCGCGCTTGTGAATGTCATGCCGCTTCATATCATCCCCTGAATCGCCTCGCGTTTAGGTGCGTTTAGTGGTACGTTAAGGTATAAACGTACATTACGTCTTATTGAATTGTGACGTCCTTCACTCAGACAGGTAAAGGTGGGGGGCGGGTCTTTAACTCGCGTGATTTAGGCTCTCCCGGCGTTAGCATTTTGGCTAACGTTAACTGTCAGATTAGGTTGAGCAATTTACGGACGGAATCACGATGGAACCTGAGCAGCAGCTGAGAAATGTAAGTCCCATTAAGACGCAGTGTTCGATGCATTGGGCGAATTTGTGAAAAGAAGCAGTTTGATCGTGAATTTGGTTTCTCGCAGCTGCGGGATTTCCTTCTGGTTTACAACCGCATGACGGAGATTTGCTTCCAGCGATGCAGCAGCAACTTCAACTACAGAAACCTCACCATGGACGAGGTAGGAATCCTGGGAAAACGCACATTTATATCCCCACATCCTGGCCATTAACAAGCAGCTGTCAGTTAGTTGTCCATTCATGCCATCCCTCATCTCCTGAGGTTGAGGTCGGGGTCCTGAACAAGCCGGTGACCTCGCTTTGTCCGTAGGGGTCAAGATTGACCCATGTTAGTTACACCTGAAACCTGTTGTCGTCTGGTCCAGGAGCGCTGTGCGGACAACTGCGCGGGGAAGCTGATCCGCTCGAACCACCGCCTGATGGGCACCTACGTGCAGCTGATGCCCCGCATGGTGCAGCGTCGGATGGAGGAGATGGAGAGCAAGGCCGCGGCGGCGGAGGCCGCGGCGGCATCGCAAACCCCCGCCGCCTTCTCCCAAGGAGCCCCGCTGCTGGAACGACCTTTGACCTCAATGGCCAACGACGACGCCGGACCGCAGCCGGCGGGTTTGAATGTCCCCGTTGAACTCGACGCTGCCAAATCCACGAGGGCGTCAGAAGTCCAATTATCAGCCGCCGTGCCGCCCTCAGCCGCGATTGAAACGGCCCACGGACCGTCTAATGCGGCAGGCGCGCCTCGGCCGCCAGTAGCCGTTGACCGAATAGAGTCTGAGAGCTCGGCGCCTGTGTTCACGCCACGCAAACCCGATGTGCCTGTGGCAACGGTAGCTGCACCTACAGAGTCCAAATCAAGTGGGGGCCGGTCAGAAGTCCCACCGCCGCCGTCAGGCCAGTAAAGAGGGCCGGACTGCGTGTGTCTCCGGGAGGTTAAACTGTAGTGATGTGGCCGGTGCTTCCTCTACAAAACAAACCAAATGGGACATTTTATGTGTTGCTGAAAGTAATTGCCGATACAGAAATAACATTTCAAATGAACTACTATAATATTTGAACTCTCAATGTCGTATGACCTTTTATAAAGCTTTTAGGTTTTTTCTCTTTTTGCATTCGGGGAAGATAGTTTACTAACAGACATCTCAGATGATGTATTTAGGGACATCTCATTTGAAGGAAATAAAATGAACCCCTATTATGACAAAACAGTCCATCCCGTCCCTCTTGATAAATAATGTATAGTTATTTCTGACAGTATCGCAATAAAAACAATGCAGGCCTTATGATGGTAGGTGTAAATTCTTTGTGTTAAGAGGCAAAACAAGGAAGACGTTCTTTCAACAGCATGTGAGCGTAATACCTGCGTGCATGTTGAGAGTGATGATACCACATGAAGCTCCACCAGGATCCCTCCTTGATACGGAGAACGGAGCGATGTGATGAACTCACTCATTCCTGATAACCGTTTTGAAATGTGATTATCTTCGATAATAAAAATGAGTGTATGTCGATTTTGTCATGCTGCGCTTTTGTCGTGCTGCACTCTCCCTGTTCGGGATGCGAGTCCAGTTAATCAGTCACATACCGCTTCCCTTTCCTCCCTTAATTTCCTGTCTTTGCATGCGGCATACTTCTCAAAAACTACCATGAGCGCTCCCAGGATTCACGAATCCAACAGTGTCTTCTGCCTTATTTTAATCAACATTTATTTACTGCTAAAAACAAAACCCACCCAATGAATCAGCCATGCTGGTATATAGCACCGATTCAGATCAAAGATCTTAATCTTAATTTGGCCACTGGAGAAAATGCAAAGGATCATTTTCAACTGTAGAAATGTCATAATGAGCCGAGTTATGTTATGTTAGTAATACGTATTATTAAAGACTTTGTAGGTTATTTAAAAGGGAAAAACACACCTGTAAATGATCCAATTCATTAAAATTGGGCAAATATTGAGCAGATTTCCTCCAATACATGGTGGTCATCTTGATTATATATTTTTTTTCACTTTTATCATCAAGCATTGGAACACACACACGTGTAGTTGTTCGTAGGATTCTGCATCCAGCAGGGCTCGGTGCTATCGGCCCCCGCGGCCCCCCGGCAGGGGGCGCTGTTGTGTCGGTGTCCCGGGACGCGGGCCGCCGGTAGCAGAGTAGCAGCAGTAGCCCACATCGACTCGCGGGAGCGGGGCGTGGACTCCGGACGACTAGTCCCCTCTCCCCGAGTTCAGCAGACGACCGACTTTCTTTCGGGGGGAAAAAAAACAGCAAAGAAAGCAAAGAAAGAAGGAAGAGAATCCGATCGACTCGCGGCCGGTAAGAGTTTCGAGAACGCCTTTTTTTTTTTTAAATGTAACTGCTAGTTTTGTTTCCATTGTGGTTGCGGATGTTTTCATCTGGATGTCCAAAGCCACTTGGACTTTTTAACAAAAAGATTTCGAAGTGATCCAATAGGCGAGCCCGTCCGATCCCAACGGAGGTGGACGGAGCCAAAGGGAAACGTAACGTAATGTCTATTTAAGGATTTTATGATTTCATTATCGATGGAGCCTGAAATAAATGCCATGGCTTTTATTTTTATTTTTTCAGGTGATGTGGTGTAAATGCTGCATTTAACAATCACCCATCTTAATGCTTAATGTGTAGGAATAAACTGCTGCTATAGGCTAATAGACACAACCTAAGGCACCGGCTTTAACATACGGAAATCTTGGAAATAAACACATTTCTTTGACTTTGACATCAAGCGAATGGAAGTGAACTTGGGGACAGACATCACTCACTGATGGCGTACACTGCATTACCATTTGAACTAATCACTATATTTGTTATTCGGGAGCCAAAACACAAACTCTCTGATGAAAGGAGTCTTTGTTTTAACACCATTTTACAGGCCACACGTTCCCGATCCCAACAGAGATACAAAGGGGGAAACAGTCAAGGGAGGAAACCCACGGCACAGCAATGGATGACATCTTCACACAGTGCCGGGAGGGGAACTCTGTGGCTGTTCGTCTGTGGTTGGACAACACTGAGAATGACCTCAACCTGGGGTAAGCGGGATCATCTGCACGTACGCCCCCCTTCGTTATCTCTTGGATTTAAAGTCTGCGCAGAGACTAATTGAGTGAAGTCCTCCGATGGATGGCGTTGACTTTATAGCAAATGTACCACATTTGGCGGGTGAGTGAGTCTGTGCTGGTGCGTGTGCACACGAAGCAGGCCGAGGCGCATTAGAGGTGGTCAAATAGTTTCCACATTGTGCGCTCCCTGCAACTCCAGACACACACACACACACACACACACTCCGCTGAACATCACGCAGCTTTGGTTGTTCCATTCCAGTCTTTTCCCCTCTTCTTCTTGGGTTTCTCTCTTTATGATGTCATCACCAAAAACTGCGTATGTGTGTGTGTCTCGCTAAAAGCAGTGTGCGATTTGTGGAGCTTGAGCGATGACGTGAATGACTCCGGTAACAGAGTACAGCCCAAAACCCATCAAGGATATCACAGAAAACCTTTGCATATAGTGCTGAAATGATTTATTCCATTTGTTTTGTCTTTTAACGTCGTTCGTGCAAAACAACCAGTTGGAAGACTTTTCTCTGTTCTCTAGAAACAAATAGGGGGCTTTTTTGTTTTAAAACTCCATGAATGAAACCATATTCTGAGCAATAATTGAATTCAAAATGGACATTCAGGAGAATCCGAGCACCTCTGCCTGTTTACACAAACCCTTTTCCAGAAAGGAGCTACGAGACCTCGCTGCTAAACACCTCGGCTATCTCATTCTTAGGCCGGGCCATATATGTGCAGTTTTGTTGACGTTGACTTTTGAGCGGCTGCAGTGCCGCGAGCCAACCACGCAACAGCCAAGGCCATTTCCTCTGTTCAAGTCCATACAGGGCCAGGCCGCTGCTGACGGAGCTCCTCAGGCAGCTCGCTGCCGTCCCACGCAAACATCCGAGGGACCAGTCATTATGCTGCGCGCCGGCCTCCGCCGTTTAATGAGGAGAGACTCAGCTGTGCCTTTCATCTCTGCGGGACGTCCGGTCCGGTTATTTGAAAGTTAGCGTTGTGTTGGTATGAATGAGGCCCCCCCCCCCCTCACCCTCCCCCTCATCCGCCCAGAATTTTGATGCTGAAAGTAGGAACTGGATAATGACGTTAAGTGCCATTTCAGATCTCCCCTGGGAGCGGTGTGTGTGTGTGTGTGTGTGTGTGTGTGTGTGTGTGTGTGTGTGTGTGTGTGTGTGTGTGTGTGTGAGCGAGTTACACAGGAAGACACAGGGAGAGAGAGAATGTGTAGCAGGATTCCACAGTGTATTTTCTTCTCCGTCATTCCTGAGTTTTCTTTTTTTTCACCCGTTACTTTTTATAGCGCGCGGGGTTGGTCTGTGCACGCCGCTGGATCCGGGTTGACAGACAGTGTGACTAACGGCTATTTCGCTCAGGTGTGACACTATAGTCCTGTAGCTATTTCCACACCGGGGCCACACAAGCTCTCTCCAGGTTTATCGTTAAAGCGGAGTGCAGAGTTGTGTGGCTTCGAGGGGACTCGTGAGGAGCCCCCGGGGGTCAGCTAATGTAAAGGGGGCCACTTGGGGGTGAAGGGGCCAGTAACACGTAGGTGGCAGCTTGGCTCCTTTCTCGTAGACTGCAGGCAGCGTACGCGTTGCATGTGTTTGCAGGCATTCCAGCTCGCCGTTGATATATATATATATATATCGGCCACTCGTAAGATTGGCACGAGAAAAACGCGCTTATGTCTAAACAAAGATAAGCAGGTAGTGGAAGAGCAAACCACACAGATAGCGTTTTGGCAGCTGATGTATACTGAGAGTCATTAAGAGGGCACCTTACGCGTTTTTATCGAAAACATTCGAAGTAGACCTTAAACTGTTTATATCATCATCGTGTCGTGTTTCAGGGATGACCACGGCTTCAGCCCCCTCCACTGGGCATGCAGGGAAGGGAGGAGCGGAGTTGTGGACATGCTCATCATGCGAGGCGCCCGTATTAACGTGATGAACCGCGGAGACGACACTCCGTTGCATCTCGCCGCCAGCCACGGACACAGAGACATCGTGGCAAAGGTGAACACGCTACGCGGTTACAAGCGGGGGTCCGCTTACGTTGCCTGAGCGGAGAAAACGTGTTTTTCTCATGGTTTATTTAATTTTTTTCCCGTCTCACCCTGTGACCTGTGAATGCCAGCTGATTCAGTGCAAAGCCGACCCCAATACAGTCAACGAGCATGGAAACACACCACTTCACTACGCCTGCTTCTGGGGCCAAGACGAAGTGGCAGAGGTGCATAACACATCACACACACACACACACACACACACACACAGCTGTTCCAGGGAAAGTGTCTCAGTGTCTTTGTTTTTAATCCAAAACCCACCCGAACCAATAACCATCATAACCCCTTCTCTTCAGGACTTGGTGACCAGCGGTGCCCAGGTGTGTGTGTGTAATAGGTATGGACAGACACCTCTGGACAAGGCAAAGCCTCACCTGAGCCAACTGCTTCAAGGTCAGGGGTCATTTATGGGCAGATTAACAGATTCATTATTCCATTAAAAAAAAAGCTTTTTTCCACTTTTCCACATTTTTCACCACTTTTCTATTGTTCTTTATTTGTAGAAAAGGCAGAGAAACTGGGTCAGAGTTTGATCAAAGTACCCTACAAGGAAACCTTCTGGAAGGGAACCATGCGAACACGACCTCGTTAGTATAATTCACCAGATGAAAGGAAAAAGTCCTCATATTGTGTCAGGATGTTTGGTTATTTCTGTTTTGGCTCTTTCAGGTAACGGTACCCTCAACAAGCAGGCCGGTATTGATTTCAAGCAGCTTTCGCTCCTGGCAAAGATCAATGAAAATCAGTCTGGAGAGGTCGGTTGCACTCTGAGTTTACTGCTGTTTCTGTCTTTCTAAATGTATTTCCGGTTGCCCAGTTGTTCATTAGGCTACGTGCTCCGTCTGCAGTTATGGCAGGGACGGTGGCAAGGAGACGAAATTATAGTGAAGGTGCTTCAGGTGAGAGACTGGACCACCAGGAAGAGCAGAGACTTTAACGAGGAGCATCCGAAACTCAGGTAATTTACACATCAGCCTTCTGACGGTGTCAAAAGGAAGGGTGGTGCTTGACGTTGGCTCTTAAAGGGCATCTATTGTGGTGTCTGCACACAGCATACGCACATCAGAGTCCGTTCATGGGCTTCACATAATCACGTGCCGTGATTTGATGGCATAACTGAGGCTAATACGTTTAGTTCTGTCGTCTCCCTGTTTAATGAATGCAAACGACTTCGGAAGAACCTTTTAGTGAGACTCCTTAATAGGACAAAAAGGAAGAAACCTTTTTCACTCAAAGAGTGGAAGGACTCGTGTGGAAAGAACTTGGCAAGGTGTCCCTGAGCAGGACAACTAACCCCTAATTGCTCCCTGGGCAAGAATACATGGGTTAAAAATGCATTGTAAGTCGCTGTGGATAAAAGCGTCAGCTAAATGACCTGTGATGTAAATGGGTTGTCCTCCCCACAGCAGACCTTATTTGTTCCTAATCATCTGATCAACACCTTGTGTTTAAAGAATATATTACTGTGTAGTTTCAACATTACATTCTCTGTGTCTGTCGTGTCTCCAAAGGATTTTTTCTCATCCAAACATACTGCCTGTTCTTGGGGCCTGTCAGTCACCTCCATCGCCCCACCCCATCATCATTACCCACAACATGCCGTACGGATCCCTCTTCAACATACTGCACCAGGGAACTAGTACGTACTTCAATTCATATACAAAGTCGAGATGGCGCATATATTTTTACCGCATTGAATGCAATATGGCTGAGGATTTCTATTGTGAACGAATGACATCACACAACTCATCCTCTCCACATCATGCTTTGAACTTCTCTCTCCTGTCCACCTGTGTCTTCCTCTTCCTCAGCTCTGGTGGTCGACCAAAGCCAAGCAGTGAAGTTTGCGTTGGACATCTCCAGTGGCATGGCTTTCCTTCACACCTTAGAACCAATGGTTTCCCGGCTTTACCTCAACAGTAAGCATGTCATGGTGAGACAGCGCGCAACGGTTCACAGTGTAAACCAAAATAACTCTAGTCTATTACTGCCTCTACGCACACTCCCCATAGAGGAGATCCTGTGACACGTTGAATGGCCAGATGTTTGATTTGCAGATCGATGAGGACATGACAGCCAGAATAAGCATGGCGGATGCAAAGTTCTCCTTCCAGTGTCCCGGTCGTAGTTACTCCCCAGCGTGGATGGCCCCTGAAGGTATTAATCCCTCCTTTGTTCTCCTCCTTTCCGCCCTACTTGCTCCCCTTATAACGCCTTCTCAGTCATATAATAAGGAACATCCTGTACGGTATAATTTAGTCTCAGTTAAGTGGTAGTCATCCGGTTTGTTGCCCGTGTTACAGAATAAAAACCAACCACCAAATTAGTTTTTTAAGTGCCCCTTTTCCCTCTCGTGTGAAGCCCTGCAAAAGAAACCTGAAGACATCAACAGAAGATCTGCTGACATGTGGAGCTTTGCCGTGTTATTGTGGGAGCTGGTTACCAGAGAGGTCCCTTTTGCTGACCTCTCACACATGGAGATAGGCATGAAGGTAAGTGTGTGTGTGTGTGTGTGTGTGTGTGTGTGTGTGTGTGTGTGTGTGTGTGTGTGTGTGTGTGTGTGTGTGTGTGTGTGTGTGTGTGTGTTTTTGTCTAGACACTCGCTTGTCTGTACCCGCACACCCACATTTCTGTATCCCTCACAAACACAGCGCCATACCTACCAAAATATCCAGAGTTCAGTACATGTTTTTGACGTTTTTAACCCCCGACACCACGCCCATTCTTAGGTGGCTCTCGAAGGCCTTCGGCCAACCATTCCACCAGGGATTTCCCCTCATATCTGTAAGCTGATGAGGCTGTGCATGAACGAAGACCCGGCCAAGAGACCCAAGTTTGACATGATTGTCCCCATTCTGGAAAAGATGCAAGACAAGTGAAGGCCTTCACTGCAATCTGCGCACTCCTGTCCCACCTTGTATTTTTATCAAACCACTTCACACTCAATGATGTATCTGCCTAGCCACTGTAAATAATATAAGAGACCACTTTTGCTTCACAATCTGAATAATACGTGCTATATTGCTGTTTAAATTAAATTTGAGATATAAATGTTTATTAGTCCATGTGCTCTTTTATAATGGCTGAAAAAATAATTGGCAAACTGGCCAAGAATCCAGTGTGGAGTCAGACACCTGATCACACCCACAACTGATCCAAAGAAATGTGTGCAGAACCAAAGCTTTTATACACAATGCAATAAACATTTTATATTTATGACAAATCCTGATCTTTTATTTCATTCATTTGGATTTTTCTCTTTAAAGACGATTTCGTTGGTAGTTCATTTGTCAACTGAGAGCCACAAGATGGGGCTGAAAGCCTCTCAGGAATCTTAGTGTCAGTGAACCATGTGCTTAAAATTGTCAAATCACTTTTTACTCATGTCTGTAGTGAACCTTCAAGCCCAGCTCACATGCTGTGGGTGCAGATTTCTCAAACAACATTCAATAGCTTTTTTTTAGGATCCATTGTCCTGTTTCGATGAGAGTTATCGACCAAAAAAAGCAAATCCAGCCTTGACAGGATTTGTTAGGATGGTGTGTACACAGTGTAACACTTCATGTTGGGAAATTACTCTTAAACTTTTAGGATGAAGCAAAGGTGTAACTGCTGCACTATTAAAGTATCACTGCAGTGAAATCGTTAACATAAAGTAAACTGGTTCCAAATAGTCGGGCTGGAAACATCAAGCAATTCTCCAAAATCGACCAAATTGATCCACCGGCTGGTGCGCGGAACCAATCAGCTCTGCGGGTAAAAAAAAAAAAAAAGCGTACCGCGTGACGAGTCACGTGACCTTCGGCTCCTTCCATAAGAACAGGGCTAGCTCGTTAGCCGCCGGTAGTACGAGTCATTTCTCAGCTGACAGCGAAGCGGCAAACTGCCCCGCTGAGTGTTACTTCCTCGACGCTTCTCTTCCCTCCCCCCTTCCCGACTCCCCTCCCGCCCCCACGGTGTCTGGTTCTCCGGAAGGACCCGTCCTCTACCGATGAAGCTCCCCGCGATGTTGGGACTCGTGACCTGCGCGCTGGTTGTGATGTGGCCGCTGCTCGGCTCCTGTCATCCCGCAGCGACGCCGCGGCAGCCCGGCTTGGCGTTCGTGGAGGAGTTCGCCCGTCCGGGCGTGGGCTTCAACTGGAGAAACGTCAGCTGTGGCTTGTGCAAAGCCGTGTTCACCATCCTCGACATCGCCCTGCTGGTAAATGTTTGCGCTCGTTTCTCTCACCGGGGCCACTAAAGAGGATGCTGGGGGTCAGCGACGGTGTATGTGTGAGGCGGGTGACCTTCGTGGGCCGAGTGGTTTCGATTGGGTGTCTTGTTTTACAACAAGTTCCTGGTCTAGTGTTCATACCTAGCAAAAAGCTAATGCACTGCAGTAAATGCATCCCTGCTGAAAATCGTGTATTTATACACTTAACATGAACTGCTAAACGAGGTGTTCAAGTTAAGGGTCAATCTTTTTATTTTTGGTGTTTAGGGGGATTTTATTGTATTAACATTTCTGAGTATTTTGTCCACTTTTTATATTCTAAGAGTTTTACTTACTTTTACAAGTGCAATCAATTGTGACATCAGGCCCCTGTGAGGCCTTACATCATGGTCTGCTTTTAAAGTCTTATCTCTTGACCTGTGAGTAAAGCTTAATTTGCACAAAACCATCCTTTCAACAGTTCGATCTCCCAGTCTTTGTTGAGCTAAAGTCTGCCAATGGGTTTGACCTCAAACGTTGCCTCTAAACTGACCATATTCTAGCAACAGAATGATCATTGAATGCTGTACTTACAGTGACTTAAATATGACGTCAAGCATTATTTATGATCTCGTAAATATGATCTGATTTGTAAAGCATCATGTCTAAGGACTATTTGGACCTTTTTTATTGTCACACCACCTCTCATGCCGCTCTGCCTTGTGACCTCTCCTAGAACGACTTGAATGAAGAGCGAGTGGCATATGCGGTGGGAGAGGCCTGCATTCGTCTCCACCTGGCCGACGAGCTCGTCTGTCGACAAATCGCAGAGTTGTTCAGGGACGACTTTATCCGGGCCCTGCAGCAGTCCTTGCTGTGGCCCACCGAGGCATGCGCCCTGCTCGTGGGCCCTTCCTGTGGCAAATTTGACATCTACGCCCCGTGGAACATCACCCTGCCAAAGGCCCCGAAGCCCCCAATTACGCCGCCCTCTCCTCCAAAACCGGGCTCTCCACAGAGCAGGGTCCTGTTTCTGACTGACATCCACTGGGACCAGGTGAGTGAAATCACCCCCACAGCAAGTGCTGGTACACAATCTGCCCTCTTAAAACGAAATGGGAAGTTACTGATCTACTCGAAAGCAATGTTTCCTTTTTCCTCTGAACTAACCACAAATCGGTATGTCACCTGACTTTGCTTTGGATCAAGCCCAACTTCTAAAGTAATAATCATAATCCCTTCCACTGACAGGAGTACGTAGCCGGCAGCGCCGCAGACTGCAAGGACCCTCTGTGCTGTCGCAACGGCTCTGGCTTTCCTGGCCAGCGGCAGATGGAGGCCGGGTACTGGGGGACCTACAGCAAGTGCGATCTGCCTCTGTGGACGGTGGCGAACCTCCTGGAGAATGCCGCCAGAGACGGACCGTGGGACTGGGTGTACTGGACCGGAGACATACCGGCGCACAATGTTTGGTCTCAAACCAGGAAACAGCAGCTGTCGGAGCTTACGGTCATCTCGAGGCTCATCCACAAGTAATTTCCCTTTAGGATGTGGATAGTAATGTAATCGCTTGTTACACAACGTGGTGGATGTCTACTCGCTAATACTGATAACTTCACCACACTACTGAAAATTCCATTTGAAGTTCTGGATAAAGCAGTTGCTTAACTTTAATCTCAAAGCGGCCTTGTACTCTGACTCAAACACGGTGATAGCGTTGGGAATGTTCTTGCTGCCGCTTTGTGTTGACATGTGTTGCTGGAGGCCTGTGCTACGACGCAAGTTTACATACCGAGGATATCTCCTTCGATATCTGGCTTTAAAAACCGCAACTGTGTTGTACCACTGCAGTTATCAACACCAGGTTTCCCCAATCTTGCTTTAGACTCATTCCCGTTTAAAGGGGCAATGTTTGCAGTGCCCAATCACAATAATGGACAAGGACAGTCAGCAGAGTGACACGTCTTACAAACTGAGGGCAATTCAACAAATCATTCACACTAAGGGAGCGTTGAAGCTGTCCTGGTTTTGTCTCACAATTCGCTGCACGGCAGATGCATGAAGGGTCAAAGTTCAAGATCTGTAGGACGTCTCATTTGACTGCGAACTGCGTGCAACAGTCCCAGTTTAATCTTCATAGTACAGACCTAGAATCTAAGCAACCACTGACTTTACTCTTGTCCGTCTTCTGTCCAGACACCTGGGGCCTAACGTGACAGTTTACCCTGCTATAGGGAACCACGAGAGCACACCGGTGAACAGCTTCCCCCCGCCGTTCGTTCACGGCAACAGATCCTGCGCCTGGCTCTACGACACAATGGCAGAGGAATGGGCTCCGTGGTTACCAAAGCAGGCTTTGAAGACCTTAAGGTGGGTTTTATTGTCTGAATGTTTATTGGTTGACATGGCTATGCAGGTCATGTCACGTCACCATAAGCCATGAAAGTAAACAGCTTATGATCTATCTCGATCAGAAGTGGTCACATTTTACATTACAGGTCACTTAGCTGACGCTTTTATCCAAAGCGACTAGCATTGTTAACCCATGGCTTTTTCATTTTTGCCTGGGGGGGGGCAATTAGGGGTTAGGTGTCTTGCTCGGGGACACTTCAACATGGAACAGCCGTGGCTTGAACTACCAACCTCGCGGTTCCCAGTGCACCCTTTTCTCAGACTATTACTTCCTATGGATGATTTTTATTTTATGGGCAGCCAGATCCAAAACTCCAGTCCTTCAGCTGTGTTTCTTGCTGTAATTGCAGATATGGGGGATTTTACACATTGGAGATTCAGCCTGGTCTGAGGGTGGTCTCTCTCAACATGAACTTTTGTGCCCGGGAGAACTTCTGGCTGATGGTGAACTCAACAGATCCTGCTAACCAGCTGCAGTGGTTAGTCCATGTTCTCCAGGCCAGTGAGGACAAAGAGGAGAAGGTGAGAACGGCGTAACTAAACTTGATGTGTTGTCTAAGCTGTGTGCAGCATTCTACATGTGGTTAAAGACTCTACCACTTGTTTTACTTCCCTTTTACTGGTTATGAGCAAAACTCTTTGCTTTTAGTGCAATCCTTCTGTGCTCTTGACTCCTTAGGTACATATAATCGGTCACATTCCACCTGGTCTGTGTCTTGGCAGCTGGAGCTGGAACTACTATCACATTGTCAACAGGTAGCTACAATGACGACAAACCTAAAGATGCCATATCCCAGAATGCTTTGACTCTGCCCAGTTTACTTCCTGTTGTCCCACAGCTGAGGGATTTAAGTTCTGGACTGATTGACTGTATCATGGAACATGAATTTTTCTCAATTGTCACTACCTTCTGCATGAGTATTTTAGCAGCCATTTGCTTAAAGTCATATCATACATTGGAATATTAATGAAACTGTCTTGGTAATTTGTTTTTATTCAAAATGTTGACTAATTACTTGTTTGTTTCATTGGCCCTTTTATGTAGTCTTGAATCTACTTTAGCTGATGTCTTTAAAGGCCAGTCATCTCTAAACATTTTTTTTTGCAGATATGAAACTACAATTACCGGGCAGTTTTTTGGCCACACGCATCTTGATGAGTTCCAAATGTTTTATGACGAGGCCACCATGACCCGCCCGTTGGGAGTGGCCTTCATCGCGCCCAGTGTCACTACTTACATTAAGCTTAACCCAGGTGAGTTAAAGGAACTCGTCTACTCTCCTCACAACATTTCTTCTGCAACGGTAACCTGAGCTCTTCTCCTTCAGGGTACCGCGTCTACTACGTAGACGGCAATTACAACGGCAGCTCCAGGCTGGTGCTCGACCATGAAACCTACATTCTCAACCTCACGGAGGCCAACCACAGTCCCGGAGCCCCAAGTATCCCAGAACCGAACCCCAAATGGACCCTGCTGTACCGCGCTACCGAGGCCTACGGGCTGAAAAGCTTGTTCCCCTCAGACTGCGACGGGATGTTGAGGACCTTTATCAACGATGACCAGGTCTTCCAAAAGTTCTGGTACTTTAGGTTCAAAGGACACGTGTCGCTGCCCTGCAAGGAGATGTGCAAAACTACGCTGCTCTGCTTGCTGCGCAGCGGGCGATACGATGAGCTGCAGAACTGCGACTTAGTCAATGGTTTAGGAGGAAACTTGGCTCGGGCTGCCAGAAAAACCCTCTGTTGAGCAGAGGAAGGTTTGGACTGGAGGAGGAGAGTGACTAAATCTGAAATGATTGTTAAACGACTTCTATTTGTTCAATAGTAAAGTCCCAAGAGCGATTTTTCTGTCAGTTGTTTAACCTCTGATTGTGATTGTAACTGGCTTCTGGTCGGTCAGCTGCTGTTCTGCAATGCCTGCTTCAAATTCTTAGAAAGTAGTTCTGTTTACGTGAAATGCACAGAATTGCAGGTGTGTACATGTTTTGTTTTGCAATACTATACTTCGTGCCTTGTATTGGAAAATATTATAACTCAACCAAAGCAATATTGTCTCAACAGCTGTTCCACTAAAGGATAGCTTTAACTTAATGTCAGAATGATGTTGTGCAATGTTTGATTATCAGCTAACTTCCTTGTATCATGAGAAATTTAAATATTGTGGGGATTTAAGCCAGTATTTACAGTCTCAAGAGTTCTCCCCTATGAGATTTAATGCTCACTGCACTTTATTGTTTGGACCTAGAGTCTCATGCATTGGAAGGCTGTCAGCCTGTGTGGTAACATGAATAACTTGTAAAGCAAGTGAATAAAAATGCTGTAATCTGATACTCTTGTGTGCAGAGTTACTGAGTTCTCCAGGCTTTCTATATTGAACTGGCGTATGTCCTGCAGACACCTGAAAAGGTCTCTAAAGTCTTCCTGCATAAGCTGAAATGTTAAGACATGTATGTTGTAAACTAGTTCTCACTTGCCCCACATTTCCTTCTCTTTAAATCACTAACTGGGGGGTTTGCACAAAAGTACTTTTTTTTTTTTTCCTAATAAAGAAATCCAGGCTAACTGAAAAGGCGCCGCTTGACTGTGTGCCGTTCACCACGGCTTAATCGTTTGCTCCCCCTGCTCATCTTGGCTCAAAGTCAATACAGCTGAGAAGTGCATGTTCATGCTTAAGTAGACCACCGTATCGATTGGATTTACTGATGTGTGTGGCATATTTTCAATCTGCTGAGCAGCAATTTATGGAAAAGCATACAATGTGCAGAATATATAAATACTTGCTAGGAAAGTTCTAAGCTGTCTTATCTTGATAAATATCCTGGCTTCACCCCAGCTGAATATTCCCTTGTTTTCAACAAAGGCAGACCTGGGATTCAGGGTGGGACAGCTAGACTGTTGAAACTGCCCTTCATACATGGTACGTTGTCCAGTACATCACCCATTTGTGCTTTTAACATTTTGTGGCCAGGAAAAGTAGATGTCTTCAGCTCAACACTGAGTGGTAAATAGTGCCTTTAATCTCCCACAGCATAAGAACATGCCGCTTGCAACAAAGTGCAGTGGCCTACAGAGCATCTGCGGATGGTGAGATGGCTTCGCACTGGTCTGATCTGTCCTGAGATTCAAAACGTTCAGAAATGGGCATCATGGTGCAGGAAGAAACCAGTGAATGGGACTTTATATGTAACACTTGTCACGTTTACAATTGTTCACTGCACAGTTTCACCCACCAACTACTTGACTTGGTGCAAATGTTTAATTCAGACCCTCCCAAAAATAGTCACCACAAAACTTTACCGTATGAAATTTAATAAGTCATAAGTTTAAGTGCCAAAACCCAGCAACAGTGCAGTCTACAACATTCAATTGAGCAAAAGGATCACAGCATTTGGACATTTGTCATTTCAGGCCTCTTCCTGTATGCATCTCTTGCACTAGTGTTCAATTTCTGCTCCGCATTCATTACAAAAAGCCATACGCTCTTCATATCCGAAAGGCTGTATTATGGCTCCGAGAAGATCATGGTGACCCCAAAGTCCTCCTTGTACAGATCCCACATCTTCGGTTTGTGTGGATTGTCCAGCTCCTCTCTGGGAAGAAACAGCCTGGGGAGAGAATAAAGAATTCAGACTACTAATCTCAGTGGATGAGAGCTAAATAAATGATCACATCAGACTGACCTGTTGTCCTCGATGAAAGATGTATTGAACCAGAAGTAGAACGGAACATCTTCATATCCTTTTGGGAGACCCTGATGCGAAGGGAGGAACACGAGAGTGAGTCACGGGACACTCGAGCTGAACACCGGCTTTATGTAGCTAGTGAATGAAAGCACTCACAGCACTGGATTCAAACATAACCTTCACATCCCCCTCAACCACAGGCCCGTTCTGTAGGCTGATGACCGCTGCATTACCGCCCACATCGGGAAAAACCTAAAAAATGTAAATTAAGTCACACAAATCTGTACGGCCCAATTCGCACATGTGCCAAGCGCGTGACTCACTCTGCAGTTTTCCTGTTTGCCGCACACACACTGAAATACCAGCTCTTTCTTCACAATTATCTTGACCCTGAGATCACTGCCGTCACCTTTACCCACACCTGAGTGGGGAAAAAGAAGAAGACATGAACACCGGAGGTAAAAGAGATATGTAGGGCGTGAAGGGACGTGGCTTGCTGGGCTTACCCGCTATGGAGTGGATGCGGATGCTCTTGATCACAAGGCTTCTAGGCGGCGGCAGCTGTCTGTTGAACTTGTTCTTCATGATCTCGTAGTATCCGACGTACCGGCTCTGTTTCAGAGGAACGCTCACCTCATTCGCTCTTCTCCAAATCAATTCAAACGGTCTTAAACTTTAAAAAGGTGCCAACTAGTCTAGTCAGATTCATTAATTATACACAGTCCTAAAATGATAAACATTCTCTAAATCAGTGTTTTTCAACCTTTTTTGCGTCAAGGCACACACAAAAAATCTCACGGCACACCAACAACCGGAAATAATATGAAAATCAATCCCAAACATAGTTTCAGCATGAGCATAATATACTCTAAGAAATCAGGGAAACGCGTGTTCTATTTGTTGTGTTTTATTAAACTTAACATCATCCTAATGCCAAGATGGCACAGGCTTTATGCCCAGGTATCTCTTAAGCCTAGTTTATGCGTCTGCGTTTTCCCTTGCGTCGCTTTTCACACCTTCTTGCGTCCTTGCGTGTGTCGAGACATTTTTCTAGGCTTGCGTCGAAAGCGACGCAAGCAACGCAAGCCTCCCGCAGCGCACCAGCCTGCGATTGGTCCGCTAACTACGTCCTTTACGGAGTCTCACATTTCCGCTTTCATAGCCCGATACCGCCATTATTAAAACAAAGAACGTTTACGAGAGAACCGATCAGATTTAAGAACTTTTGTCGGAAGAAATGCGTAAATATGACCGTTTATACATGCCGTCATTGGCGGGTTGTAGAAGCGGGTTGGATTAATGGAGGGAGATCGCCGCAAACGCCGGTCAAGAGGTGCACAAAGTTGTGGAGGAAAATACGGGACAAATGTGTCCGCGATGAAAAGCAGCAGTGGCGAGTCTATGATAAATAATTAAATAAATAAACGTGACTCTCTAGGTCGTTTTCAACAAAACACGTCACTCGGCCTGTTCTGGCGGTGAATTGCTCTGCAAACACACGCAGAACCATGAACTGAAACGACGCAGAAGCATGCGCTAGCCTTAATCTCACTTCTTTAATTGTCGCCTCAGCAAATCTGCCTATTAATTACGCTGCGTACCGCCACCCACAGGCAGAGGGGAGTATTGAGCCTTCATACCACCAAAAGCGCGACGACACAAACACACAAGTTGGCTCTGGTTTTTTTTCACCAATGAAGTGACTGAAATGATTTTTTTTTCACGGCACACCTGACAGCCTCTCGCGGCACACTGGTTGAAAAACACTCCTCTAGATAAACGCCTCTATTCTATGTATCCCGCTCTCACCTGAGAGGGCGTCTCCACTCCCTGAAACTTGGAGCTCTGACTCTTGTCTGTCCTCCTCTCACCGAAATAATCAAGACTGGCCTGTTGGAGGGACAGAAGTTAATCACAGGGTTGAAACGGTTTTGCCTTTGATCATGAAGAAGGAGACGTACCTTTGCACTCTCAAACTGGTCACTGTCAATAAACCAGGTGCACACCATCGTACCTGTGCGACCTGTGAAATAGAGCAACTCCGTGAAATGTGCATATCTTAAGCAACTTTTACACCAAACAGCCCCATTCAAATCGCCAAAATGCAAAATGAAACTGATTGGATAGTTGGAGTCACCTTTCCCTCCTTTGCAGTGAATAGCAATTATGTTTTGGGGATCAGCTGACATCCACTCCCTCACATTGGCGGTGTATTTCAACAGGTCCCTGAGAGCGAGAGATACGTTAGTGGACAACGCAAACTATTGTACAACTCACAGTTGGCGACGCAGCCAGTTTCTGCACGTGTTCAGAATGCTGAGCCAGTACACATTTTATTGACACCACCAGGCACAATGTATCAGCACCGTAAAATAAAAATAAAAAGGCTATGTTGCAAATCTCATCTAAATTACAAAAGGGAGGGGTGGACTAAAAGAAAAATCCACACAGAAAATGTTCCTCACCCCAACGAGGGGACGTTGTGGTCATCAATGAACACCCGTTCGACCCTGTAGTGGAAGAACTGCGGGTCGTAGCCTTTCTCACCTGCACACAAAGTATGAGATTCACACGTTTTGTGTAGTTCTACGTAGACGGGAATGAGGTACGTGTGAGAGGAGCTGGGAACTTACTGCACAGGTTGTAAACTTTATAGTGGCCTTCATGTTTAGTGTCGAGGAACCTTGCCACCTCCTGCAGCGAGCGGAGGAAGAGGTTAAGGCGCATGTGGAGGTGCATGCCGCATTGCTCCACTTTGTGTGGATTATTTTCAAACGTTGTCGAGTGTGGACCTGTGCAACCTGGTTGTGTCAGAATTACCTTGATTGGATTCCTGTAGAAGGACTGCTTCCCAGAGGAGGGGAAGGACATGGCGATGACGCGGTCTAAAACAAGTGGGTAAAGATCATTTCTTAAAAAGGTTACGATTTCTTTGCAATTCTCTTGGCGCAGCACGTAACACCCACCTGTGACATAGGTAAGGTCAAGGTCAAATCCATCCTTTTGATAACGCCGCTTGTTCTCAGAAATCTGAGAAAAAAAGAAGTCATTGATCGGGAAGCAATAGGCCTCTTTCCCCCGACTCTCCCAACTATTTCTACGCAGCTGCAATCATGATGAAGACTCAGACTACTGAACGTTGGGCATTCAGAGTTTTCTACCCGTCCGTGGTGGCGATCTTACCATCCGCCTGGTGACCTTCTCCAGCTCTTTCCTCTGAGCGGCCAGTCGGAAAACCCTCACCAGGATTATGATTCTCAGGAAACGGAGAAACGTCACCACCCTGATGGAAGAATTGAAAATTAAAATGTATATGCTTTTGAATCATTTAACAATTTATTGATGGAGATGAATATAATGTCTGCAGAAAATAGCTTAAGGACTTAATAAAAAGTAATGTGGCCTATTTTATTCGCATGTACTGAAGGGCGATGTTGGGGTTATGCAACATGGGGAAAATGCATTGCTCATCAGTATTGTTTAATAGGTATACGCAAAATGCTAAATAGATTTGATGTTCTCTGAATTGATTGTTCAAATCAAAGAATAAACTAAATCCAATTTTCATGAAATTCTGCTTGATATGAAAAGTTTCAATCTCAAAATAAGAGATACTATAATACTATGAAAAATAAAAGAATCCAAGGAAATCGCATTATTATTGCCTTTGCAACATTACAGCAAAAGAAACTTATTTTTGTGCTGAAAGGGTCTCCAATGTGCCATGTATGTTTCTCCATCGAGGTTCGTCAGATGGAAGCTGCAAGTAACTAATGAACTCCTTGGACGAGGCGTGAATGGCTGCGCAGGTGCAGCAAAACCAGCAGGAGACTGAGGGGGATGTTGATTAAGCGCCGACAGGAGGCCTAATCAGACAGCATTAGCCAAAACACCTGTGTGGGTGGACTAGGAGTGTGTGTGTGTGTGTGTGTGTGTGTGTGTGTGGCCTTTAAATGAGAAATCCAATCTATTTGAGCATTTATATTTTATCGAAATGCTTTAATAATTCTAATTATTTATCCACTGACTGTCTAACACATCCATTTGAACCCTTTCAAGTAATCGTGGGGAGTGCAGGTACCTGGGGATGAGGCTGGCTCCCGTAAGGTCAGAGAAGGTGTAGATCATGGTGACCACCAGCGTGATAACCACAACGCAGGCGTCTACGATGTTCAGCTGTGAGCTGAAGTAAACCTTTAACCTACAGACATGGGACAGTTAATTGGCAAATAGTGTGAAACTGACTGTAGCAGAAAGAAAGTAAAATCCGTGATACTGGTGATTCTCCCCAAGGAACCACCCTGTATATACATTTCCTGTCCATCTTCCTGTTCAGAGCTTCCTGTTTGACAGCTAATCACACATTATTTCTGCTGACAGGGGACACTGGGAACATATGCCTCACTCTTTTTAGGCTCACATTCACAAGCATGCAATTGTGCAAAGTTCTCTGAGGGCTCGCGTGAACTAAATAGTGGGCACAGTTTACAATATATTGCATTCATTTAATACCGCCACACCACTAAATTCTGACTGAATTATCCCTCTTCAAACACAGTGTAAAAATGAACAAAACCTTGAGAAAACATGCAAGGTTTGGAAGAAGCTATGCTCACTCACCCCTCCACATAGACTCGCAGGAGAACGTCAGCGAGGAAGAAGAAGGAGATGAGGAGGGATACGACCTCCAAGGCATCTCCAACCCCTCTGCTCTTGGCTGGCAGGGACAAGTCCACAATGACCAGCACAAAGTCCACCAGGATCAGTATCACACCGAATATACTGGAGCAATAGACAGGCAAACGGAATAATCGTCACACTACCAAGCAAGGAATTAATCAGCATTGTGAATTATTCTCCTTACCGGAATCCAAAAGACATAACAAAAGGGGCGATCTTCTTTCGGATATTGCTGCAGAGGAAGAACGTTGGTCACTTTACAGTTTACAGAACTGTGTGCAGTTTAAGCCATACAAAAATGAAATACAAACTTACTGGTACATTGTGTCTGGGTGCACGCTTTCATCTTTTCCATCGTCAATGTTAACTTTGGCATCCTCCATCTTTGCAACGTTTCTGATGGATACAGATAAAAAGATGCATTGATCGATAAGCTCTTAGGCCAAAGAGGCAACAACAGCATCACCACATTCACATACAAAGCAACAGCAAACATGACGTTCCTCACCCGTTTACACCTGAATCAGAGCCTGGGCTGAAATGGACAGAGGACATGATGTGTGCGTCTTCCTTCTCGCTTTGTTTGGAGCGTGTCGTTTCTGCATTTAGAAATCAAGGATGTGGAAAGATTAACTCTGATTCCCTTGATTGAAACACCTTTGTTCAGTCTAAAGTCAGTGCAAATGAATCAGCAAGCCAGAGGAGTTGCAGCCTTGATGTAACATGCTGTATACTTCACATAAATCCACTCTTTTAAAAAAAAAAAGACAACACTTGAATCCAACTGCTAAATCATCATCCAGGATGCATTATTAGAGCTTCCTCGAACTAAACCAGCAACCGGTGTGCTGACTAAATCAGTCAATGATGCAACCAAAAAAAAAAACACTCAAGACTTCTGCTTATTCAAGAAAATAATGGAACTATAATGAATTTTTACCGCAAAGGAAAAAGCACAAACCAGCCGTTCGCCCTCCCTCAGCTGCTGAGACCGTTTGTCCGTCTAATGCGCCTGCTTACCGTGCGGACTCATTCGGGAAAGTATACGGGAGCTCGTCTTGTGACTTCTTCATGTGAGGACAAAGCAAAATGGTTCAAAGGTTAACCCGGGTTTTTATTATTTTTTTCCCTCTCCGTCCACTATTCACTTTTTGCAAACGTCGCGGTTTTGGACTTCCTGGAGCTCACTAACAAAAAAGACGCTCAGCCCCTTTTTACTTATTTCCTTGTTAGTCTCCTCATTTTTTGTTTCCCTCAGAAGTGACCGAGTTTTACCGTGACCGTGTTGTAAGGGGCTTTGGTAACCGACATTTAAAAAAAAGGCTATCTCTCACAACTTCCTCCTCTCTGTAACATCTGCTTTTAATTAAACGCACGTTAAACGTCTGCGTCAAAGGATTGCCTTTTTTTATTCGCAAAATATGTGGAAATATGCTCTTTATTCAGTTAAAGGCGAACAAAAGAACCATGGAATGTTCAGCTTTTGGCAAAAACAGTGAAGTTCTGAACTCAAGGTGAAAGACACTGCAGTCTGAGGCAGAACCAAACTTGGCAAAAACAACAGTATTTAACTGGACTCTTTTCTGTTTGGATTTGCACCTCTCAAGACCAAGTCAGGGTTTAAAAAAACAATCGAATATTACAAATTCATAATAGAGAAAAAATATGTAAATCAATTGCAGACAATGAAGCCTATACAGTCCTGACTGTTGGTGGGACATCGTATCATTAAGATTAAGTTCAGGCTCTGCAAAGTCAATCATCTCCCATCACATTGCTTTCTTTAATAAGACAATATGTCTTTAGGGACTACAATTGCAGACCGTGGATTCATGTGTATAGAATGATTTTGTTTGGAAAGATTCAATACGGACATGTGGACATGTGTGTCTGGCATCAGCACAAATATCTAGAATTGTTGATGGAAAAGGAACACTTTAAACTGGCTGGAGTTCATGTTTTGGGGAGGATGGTTGAGTCTGGATCCTCTAATGTGGACCATGCAGAACCGACCCAGCCCATAAATGATATACTGACACATTTTTTGAGGGAAAGAACAGTGAACCTTGAGCGAACATGGGCAGGCTTCGTGAAATAAAGGTAGGCTTCTGGTGCAGCTATTTTGACGAATTATAGTATTTGTTGTATCTCATTTTGTTTCAATTTTCAGACTCACATAGCCGCAGAGGACTTTCTCCTAAAAGTCATGGCAGTGCTGCTGTTGTTGGCTCTGGTGTACCCAACCCTGGCCTCTGCTTCGCCGCTGTCAGTATGTATCAGACTATATTTGTTAAGGGCTTCACTATTTTTACTTTTTGTGTTGACATTGGAAATGTAAAACATTTGGATCAAAAAGCGTAAACTGCAGAGTTTCGTAGATGTCAGCTGTAGGTGCGGCCCTATACGCTTTTACTTGTCTTCTAGTATTAAAACAAAGGTAGAAATGTCGTGTCAAACCTGAAGCTGATTTCTCTCATTGAAGGCGGTGGGATCCTGCGGGCCAGAGGTTGAAGCTCTCAAGCGCAGCATAGGGAAACTGGAGAATAAACTCTTAATCGCAACTTGGCAGGTTGAGCACCTGCAGATGCACAAATACTTCCAGCCATTTCGACCTGCCTCAACTAATACCAAACCTGAAACTGGCACGGCCCCGGGTGCAGACCAGAACAGCAGCGAGGCATTAGACAGCTCTGCCGTGACACAGATGAAACCACTTCCTCCCGCAGGCAATTTGATTGTCTATGACAAAGGTACGCAAAGCTCATATCATTTCACACGAGCGTTTCAGCGTTTATTTTAAGCGAGCATGCGGAAAAATCCAATAAACATTGGCTGAATGTCATGAAATGTGTTCCTAATATTCACCATTAAGTACGTGTATCATGAGCTACAATGTTGAGGGTGACCATCAGCTATTCTTTTTAAGTCTTTTTCGGTTGCCGTCGTTCTAGACTGCTCTGAGCTGTTTGACAGACTGAAACCGCCAAGCGGTTTCTACCGCATCAGACCCAAAAAATACCAGGAACCTTTTTTGGCCTACTGTGACATGGAGGATGGAGGAGGGTGGACAGTGTTCCAGAGACGTCGCAATGGGAAAGTTGACTTCAGCAGGTATTGAAGCAAAGGCGCTTCTGAAAGTATTGTAAACTTCCGAAATCATTGCAAAGATGACAGTGTAGGTGTTAATGAACTTAATAATCTGCTGTATTGTCATTATAGAGACTGGGTAGACTACAGAGACGGCTTTGGTGACTTCAAACTGTGGAATGATGAATTTTGGCTGGGGAATGAGCACATTCATTCGCTACTCTCAGAGGGTCAGAAACGATTTAGCAATATTTCACTGTCAAATATATTCCCTAAGAATGTTCTGCCTGTTTGTTTCCCTCAAAATTCTTGCTCATATTTCTCAGGCAAGAACCTGGTGAAGATAGATCTAATGGACTGGGAAGGAAAGAGAAGTCACGCATTTTATGAGAACTTCAAGATCACCGACGAGGCCGTAAGATTAACATTTCTACGGTTGTATCGTCCTCAGAAGTAACTGTGATTTCCCCCAAAAAACAACACTTCCCTTAATGTCTATTGCAGGACAAGTATCGTCTCCAGTACGGGCTGTATAGTGGGAAAGCTGGAGATGCTCTTGCGGGTGGAGGCGGGATGGTGGAGCAGTGGTCTGCTGGGCTCAGCGGGATGCAGTTCAGCACCAGAGATCAGGTTTGTCATCCATCCCTTTTTGTTTCTGCTGACAAAGTGAAAAAGGACGACTGTGATAACGCTGAGGGTGGTCATTGACAGGACAATGACCGCTACCTTCAGGGCAACTGCGCTAAGGAGAATAGTGCAGGTTGGTGGTTCAACAGGTGAGACCTTTTAAATTACACCTAGTGTGTGTGTCACCACTCCTCCTGTGCGTTATCTACTTTCTGCTTGAATTTTTGCGCAAGCACTACAACTTGTTCACCGCGATTTCATTCATCCATAGATGTCATGCAGCCAACTTGAATGGGAAGTTCTACCGCAAAGGGAAGTACAAGGGCGTGCATGACGACGGGGTGGTGTGGGGGACCTGGAAAGGCCTTTGGTATTCCCTCAGACACACCGCCATGAAGGTGCGGCCGGTGGTTTTCTTGGACGTGACAGGCAGCGGAGCAGGGGAACAGTGAGAGTGGCAGGCTTCACATTCCCTTGTGTGGTGCAGAATTCAAAAATAAATTCCTTTGCATTTGAACTTGAACCCTTTGTTGTTTCATCATTTGAAAACTTACTTAAATGTTGACGGTAAAGTATCTTCTACTTTCCAGAGAGCGGTGCTTTGTATAAAGTGTATGATATTACTTTAGTTGCTTACTGCTGTGGTACAGGTAACCATCACAGTGAGAATGACTTTCACATCAGCATAATGTTATACAGTGGGACTTCACAGCATGATACGAAAAGCACATCCAGCAACGTAGAACAAAAAGACAAACCGGTCTTCTGTTTTGATGAGTGTCAATCAAAAGGCTCAACATATATATATAAGTACAAGTACAGTTATTATGATAGATTTTTTACTAGTAATCGATACACAAAAAAACTGTAGAGAAACATAGATATCATGTTAAATTACAATGCACGTTTAGAAACATTTATCAATTCAAATGAAAATAAAAAAAGGAAAATGAAAAAAGGCTAAATGGATGGAAGTCTTTTTCTGAATTAGAAAGCTAAGGTCTTAAAATAAAATGATGACTGTCTCTCCCTCATATATAAGCAAATGTGTCGGGATTAAAGGGCACAGATACAGGATCGGGCTGTGAATGGCGATGGAACCTCCTCCCCGGTGCAGGACCGCAAACCTCTACTCCTCTTCTCCCACATACGCCGAGGACAGATCTAGGTCCAGCATCCTCCGCTCGGCCTCACTCAGCCTGTACGGCGAGCCGCCGCCTCCGGACATCGTCAGAGAGTGGCAGCGGGCTTTTCTGTGCTCTGAGGGCGACGCGCTGAAGGTGGAGCTGCGCTGCCGCCCTTTGACCCCTGAGCACGACTGGGCCTCCTTTAATTTCCGTGCCAGCATGTTCCTCTGGATGGGCGACGGGCCACGGCGGTTCCAGTTCTGCTCGGCGCGATCCACGCCGAGGCTGTCGGGCCCCGCGGCCGGACCCCCGATCCCCGAGATTCCCACTCGACCTCCCGCCTCGCCGCTCCTCCGACGGTCCCGGGCGCCGCTGACTTCTGCTTTGCCGCGTCTCTCAGATGCAGAGCCGCTGCTTGTGTTGGTTCCTGCGTGTTTGAGGTCATTGCCGAGGGAAGGAGCAGCTGCCTCTATCCAGGGCTTCCTTTGATCATTTCTCTGGGGCCCGTATTTAGCCCACTCGGGGGGCCCGTGCTCCGGGATGGGGTAAGAGCTGTATGGCTGCCTCTCCCATCCTCTTTTATTCCAACAACTTCCTTCAGGAAGAGTCCGGGATCCCACCTGAAAAGGGCAATGCATTATCTCTGTTATTTAAAAAATATTATCAGCAACATGTAAACACAAATATAAAAGCCGGATAGTTGACCTGAGTCATGCTCCTTTCTCTGAATGGTCTGGAGTGCACAGAAGAAAGAGGTTGGGGTCTGGTGTCATTAAAACTGGAGGTCCGGCGGAAATTTGGATTATTGTTAAAGGAGTTTCTCTGCCCTGCTTCTCCTTCTCCTCTTCCCCTGAAACCTGCTGAACCACTCCTCTCTACCATCTCCACCCACTCAGCAGTGCGCTCACGCCATTTTGAGCTGCCCCCGCTTGCATGAGCAGAAGGACCTAAGACGAGCTCCACCGGCGTGACCCGAGAAGTCGCCGATGGCAGCTCAGAAATGGGAGTTGCAATCCCAAAAGGACTGTGGCCGGCGTCACCCCGGAGCGTGGGATGAGCGAATCCGGTTGACGTGGGAATGTTTGTGGGGGACGCAGCTGTCCCTAACACGGTGTCATGGACTGGGCTTGAAGAGACATGGTACAGCTGGGTCGCCTCTTTTAAACCCTTCTTCTTCATTTCTCTCAACTGCTGCTGAGCCAAATGGTACCTGGAAAGACATGTTGTTATTTCTAAGAGTGGGAAAGAACGGAAAAAAGGCTTGAGATTAAAGTTCTCACGTGATGAAAGCAAAGTATCCTCCAAACATACCCAAATATCGGCGGCAGCACCTTCTGGCCTGTGGGGGACAGTCTTTCTGGGTCCTGTAAGAGAGGCGGACCGCACAAGGAAGGCCTGTCTTTTGGGGCCACGCCCCCAGCACCGCCCCCCAGTGGGCCCTGGCCATCAGACAGGCTGGGTCTCTGGAGGCTGTGGCCGCAGATGGATGCCTCGTCGGAGAGCTTGCGTCCCCCGGGGGAGTGCATGGAGCCTCTGCGGACGGAGCTGCACTGAGGGGCCCGGCACAGCTTCCTCCACAGAGTGACCAGGACAGTGGCCAGAATCACAGCCAGGCAAAAGGTGATGCCAGCCACCACGACCATGTTACCCCCCAGGGTCGCGACTCCGACGGCCACGGGAGGGTGGGACGGAGAAGGAGCGGGCGACGCTGGGGGCCGAGAAAAGCAGACCGTTGCATTAACATGTGCTGCAAGGACATCTCATTTTTTGATGAGGAGAACGCTAAGGAAATGTGAGAAGGAGAAAAACAAGCAAAAGAGGGAGGAAAGGAGATAAGGGGAGGAAGGGACTGACCGACACAGTCCTCCAGCGAGCAGAGGGACTGTTCCTTCACCATGCCGGTGCACTGCATCCCTCCTACACCTGAGGGCAGCAAACACTCACGCACCCGTTCCCTCACCCCCTCTCCGCAGCCCACACTGCACACACTCCACGGCAGCCACGGGCCCCATGTCTCTGCAGAAAAAACAAATTGGATAAATTATAATAAATGTTCTGTTGATGTCAATTTAGTGCAGTGCTGGGATCATTTTGAGGGCATAAAAAGCCTTTTAGAACCAAAACAAATTCGGCACTGAGCTGAAAAGACGGAACCATGATGTCACACGACATAGACCAGTTAATGCTACAGTGGCGTGGTGATTTCATTGATTGGTGACCAATCGCAGGGTGTACCCCATCTCTCCTCCAGCTATCAATCCTCTAAAGATCCGAAAATCTCACCTGCACTCCTGTGAACCACCAAACAGGTCTGTGCAGGACTCGGGGAGCGACTGAAGTTGAACACAAAGCGGAAGCAGTACTTATTCCTCCCGGTGTGAAACACGGAGCAGTTGAATTCGGTCTCGTTCTCTCCCTGGGTCAGCCAGTTGAAGGCCAACAGAGGAGAAGAGGGCTCCTCTGCTCCGAATCCCATCACGGCTGTTTCACCTGCTTGCATCCCAACACCCGCGTCCTTATGCAGCAACACTCTCCCATTGACGTGAGCACAGGGCGGGCTTATCAGTTTAACGGTCACAGTCCCCTCACAACCAACCCTGTAAGCGTTGGCATTTTCCACCAGCAGCTTGTAGGAGAAGATGCGGGACAGGTAGAGCGGTCCAGAGCCCCTCACGTCCTGTGCTGCATGAGGAGACCGCAAAGCCACTCGTATGAAATCTCTCTCCGTGAAGGGGAAAGCGCAGGACAGCTCCACGCTCTGGGAGCGGAGGGGTTTGATCGGCTGCCGCGTGCGCGCTCGGACCTTGTCGATGGTGATCCGGCCTATCTGGTTGAACTCCACGTGGCTGACCTCTAAGAAGAGAGCCGAGTCAGTGCCGCTGGAGCAAGCCTGAAAGTGTTCATTGGTGGATATCCCGACCTGGAGAGAGAGAGAGGGGGGGTATGAATCACTCTGGTCCTCGCTCTGCAGCACAATACACCTTTGTGTTTGAAGTCTTTTCTTGCCTGAAATGATCCGGAGTGGTTTCCAGACCGGTCCACGGCGATGTGAAAGGTGGGCCACTGCACCTGCAGTTCTGAACTCCACCACCGGGTGTTGCTCTCCACGCCACGCTTGAGCGTGCCATTAGGATGAGACGCCGCCGTGATGCTGGTCTCCCTCAGCAGGAAGCGGAAAGTTCCCGCATACAGGAAGCACGAACAGTTGAACTCCACCCGACCGGCCGATTGGATGTTTGGGATGGTCCTGGTCAGAAGGGTGGTGTTGGTTTCCGTGTTGACCAGAGACAGGCTCAAATGGCGGGTGGTGGTGGTGGCGTTGGATTTTGTGCTGAAGTCCACAAATACACTGGCGTTGCTAAGGGCAACGTGGAAGGAGGGCCAGATATTGAGCCCTGCAAAAGCTGCGGGAAATGATGAAGAGAGTTCACATAAGACAAAGTGAAAGAACATTTGACTTGTTGTTCAGGCATCTCGCACAAACATTTTTACACTATGGAGAATAAATAATAGTGTGTATTTGTATCTGCTGCTTTTTAAAATTTCCTATTTTTCTATATAGCGTCACTTTTGACACGATAATAATAGTACATCATGATTTATAATATCAAAACCCCATGTTTATAAAAAAAATAATTATGTTTCGGCCTATTGCGATACAGTATTTCCCTTGTCCAGGTGATATACAGTTAAATCGCATTTGCAATGTTACTTTACATACTACTTTGAGGAGCCGTTCTGTGTAAATCCTGTTGTGAAAACCTCACATCCTCACAGAGAAAAAAAGTGTATGAAGAGGAAGAGGCTTTAACCTCCACTACACCCTTCCCTCCTCTGCCCCGGCCTCCAGGGTGCTGGAGCACATTTAAATTACCGAGTGTTTGCTCGATCAAGTGAATACAAAACGCAACTATCCTGCCAGCCTTTTCAAACATGCAGTGCTCGGTGACACTCACCAAATCCCATGAGTGCCAGCAGGAACGGCAGCAGTGAGGCAGCCTGTGGCATTCCGATGTCCGCGCCTCGGTTTTCTCCTTCAGCACATGACCGTCCTCTTCCACCATGCCTGACCTCTACGGATCAGACGCACAAATCACAAAATAAACCAAACAAACAGCGGGCAACAGCCAATGTTCTTCATTCCATCTCCACAATGGGAGAGCTGTCATCAACAGTCCATAACAAATATTTATGAAGAACGACAAACTTTGTTTGGTTTCTTGCAAAGTTTTCACTCATTGTTTCTCCACTGTGTCCTCAGACAAACAATTGTGAGACACCAGGCCGCTGTTTCTCTTTTAAACTCCAATTGAAATTGTAGCACTGTGCTGTATGTTTCTCGTTAGAGAATAAGAGCTTCAAAGAACTAGAAAACGCCAAAGCCATCAAAAGGTTTTTCTTTGAGACACCGTTTCTGGTTATTTGAAGGACCTAAAGAAAAGATCATCTACACTCTTCAATTTATCTTTTGTAAATGTCCCCCATCGTGCCTCCATCAATGAATAATTCAAACATGAACCATGTCTAACCCTCCAACAGATGAAATGGTTCTAGAGGGTGATGCTCCTTTGTAGAACACCACAGCCTTTTAAACAACAAGTTGAGCACCATTCTTTGGGTGTGTAAATAGAGACCATTCTCACAAGGCAAATGAGTCCATTCAGCGGGGACAAAAAGTTTGCATAATAATTATTCCCAGGTAAAAATTTTAATATCAACTCCTAACCAAATAGTGAACATCTATATAGTAACTATTGCATTATTGAAAACGTTTACCTGATTCCAAACCTATAGGACTTAAAGCTCAACATCTCCGGCAAAGCTTCATAACTCTCATTGTTTTTAGCTGAAAAAAAAAAAACTTTTATACTTACATTTTTTTTGTCGAGTCAGCACAGCATAATCAGCCTGCAATTTCTCCAACACAGCAGCGGACAACGACAGTCCCGCCACGTGCTGCTAAAAACGTCTTTTCCTTTCTCCAGACACTGTTATGTGAGCGGGACCCGCGTCAAAGACCCAACTGCGGTCTCGAAAAGCGCGCTCGGAACAGCGGGGACCTCCGCGGTCAGAGGAAGGGCGGAGTGAATATTATACATTTGTTTCTCCACCAAACGTCTATAGGCACAGAAAAAGACAACGCAGGCTACTGTGCAGGGGTTAAACAAAGAAATACGCTATTTTCATATCAGAAGGCGGGTCAGGGATAAGTGAGGAAATGGTTTTAAATGTGGCCCCTTTATCCAATAAAATCACCTTCATCACGATGCATAAGCAGTTTCTCAAGTTCCTTTTAATCATGGATCTTTCCACGGGAACGTTGTGCAAAATTAAACTATTCGCAAGGTGTGAAATGGTTCTCACAATGCTCTGAATCTAAATATTGTTTTTCAAATATTGAAAGAGCAGGTAAATTCATGAAATGGGCTAAAACAAAAGCACAAAGATAATGCATTTTTTCTCCATTGGCATACTCACAATTCCATTATGAAAGTAATTAAAAGTGACTATATGGAGAAATATGTGAGATCCAACAGATTAATCCAGAATTCTCTGGACACATTCACGGATCAGCTTTTTGTATGTTTGTAAAACATTGTCTCAAAATAATCTCACGATGAAGTCATATGAGGAATCAGAAAGAATAGCAGTGTGTATCTTTATTAGCCCAGGAGGCAGGTTGAGAAAATAAAACATTTTAAACGATGCTGGCATGACAGAAAACAGAGAACTACTCATCACAAACCATCACATGACCCCCCACCCCCACATAAAATAACTGACGGTGTCTGCTTCCATTTTCTATAGATGAAAGGAGTCCTTACTGAGATTTAAGCCAACGACACTCAGCCATTCAGCATCAGGGATTCACTTAAAATGCACCGCTGAGTAAATCCATCTCAGCATGCAAGAACAGGACCCATTTTGTCTCGTAAAATGTTCGCCAATAATTGAATTTCACCCACGAATCTCTGATCATAACAATTAGAGCTGTCCAAGTTCAGCTCCAACAACAAGTAGGAGTAGGACTTAAGGATAAATGGCAGGCTAATCTAATCGGCAGTAACGCTTTGCAGACCTTCACATTTCCTCGGGAGAGAGACAGCTGAAAACAGGAAGCTTCTCTGAAAAAGAAACACCCTTTACTGTTCAGTTCAGTGCCACAACGGGAACAAAGGACTTTGTTAAGTGCGCAAGAAGCTCCTCAGGGAAACACAGGGGTTTAAAGTAGACACAATCTTTGAGACATGGGGCTACTTACAATATGTGGTTACTCTTAATATGATTTACCTTAAGTAGACATGTGATTTTACAAGTGCATTAATAGGGGGCTTACCCCTCAGTCCGGATTCTGCTTGGCCTTTATACACAACCTTTACAATAAAAGGATTAAGTCGCTGAATAATGACATTTGGCAACAATTTGTTTCACTGTGGAGCAAACGAACAGCAGATGAGGACTTTTGTTATTTGGATTTTTGTTCTCAGTGAACAAGAGTGAAGGGACATGAATTCCTTTTGATGGACAGGATTGAGAGACCAAAATGAGATGACATGCAGCATGGTTTTCAAAATTCACTTTAACCTGCACCTCTGGACATGTTCTGTCCCTCCTCAGAAGATGAGACAGCATGACAAAAGGGTCATTCCTTATTCATTTAGTTATTACGATTTGTGCCGCAAGATCGAGTAAAGAAAATGTACACAGGATATAATAGGATTATATCAATTACCCCAAACCTATTTATTGCTAAGTGCACATGAATCAAGAAGAACAGAATCAGGGAACACTGTGCTGCGTGTACAGCATCTGAGCAGAGCTGTAGCTCTTGGACCTGAAAAGCCTCCGTTAAGACCCACCGGGAACAACCGTTAAAAAAGAATGACGAGATTTATCAGGTACGTTGGCGCCGGCGGGCTCATGTAGCGGCGCTGCAGTGGTCTATCAGCAAAGGCTGTGCAGCGAAGTTAAAGTTAGTTTTTTTTTTTTCCTCCATTTCATCCATTGTGACAAAGTCAAAAGAGGTTCGGGTAGAATCTTAAACCCTCCACAGAGTCGTCTGTACACAGGTGGCCCATCTTCTCAGCCAGCAGCAGCCTGGAGATGAGGGAAGAGTAATAAAATGAGAACCACAACAACTGGAATCATTCTGTATGATTTAACAACATGATTAATTGGTAAAACAGACGCCCGCGTCAGAGAGCTTCACCACTGACCGTTCTTTAGAGAGAAGTACGGAGAGACCCAAGAGCTTCGCAAACTCCTCTGCCGTCAACGAGCCTTTGTCGGACACCTGGAGAAGAAGAAGACGGCCAAACACGTCGCGGAATGAATTCAAGGCGTTGAACCTCGAGGTTTCACGACTGTGACTCGACATCTTCCGAAGATGTGTGTCTAAGACGGCATGCCGTCTAAAGCGCGTCAATGTCAGCATGATGTTTGGAATGGTACAGCTTACATTGTCCAGCGCTGAGGATATCATTTCCTCTTCGCTGTGAGACTGCAGCTGGACCACCATCACGCCGCTGTCAAACACACGTAGTCTACAAAGGAACAAGACACAAGAAACAATGTGTGTGTGTTTGTGAGAGAGACAGAGAGATTAATTATGTTTTATGAGGCTAAAACAGCGAGCAGACGGATGAACTGCAACCGGTTTGACGGTACTTGCACCAGAGTGGCGTGGAAACGGGCCGGTGCTTCTTTTGAAACACCGTCATTTCCCCGCATTCCTTTTGAAAACACGGCGAAGTGAATTGAAATGGCCGTCGCAGAGGAATGGACAATACCTCCAACAACAGGAAGTGAGACAGGAAGCGTGTGGCCTCTGGGATATAGTGCAGGCCTCGACCCTGCACTATTTAACACGAAGGCTGATCCTTACATTTGTGAGTGGAAAGGGACTAATCAAACCATACAATAAAAAGTTTATATATATATATATATATATATATATATATATATATATTTAGTACTCACCTCAATGGGAGCTTCAACGACTCAAACACCTTGCAGGCGTTGACCAAATCTTCCGGAGATAAAAGCTATGGGAAAGGGAAAGAAAAGAGCCATCTGTGTCAGACACCAAAGACCTTTGTGTGTGTGTGTGTGTGTGGTGGGAATGTCTATACAAGTTTTGTTTCATTAGTTCAGCTGGACTCATACGTGTGCTTCTGTGAGCATTACCTCCATCCCTCGAGCACGGTTGACGAGACAGTAGACCTCAGTGAGAGCCATCATACCCCCGCGCTCCTGAAGGAGGGAAGGCAGGAAGAGATGAAGAGTGACAGTCAGAACATGGAAATGCAATTTCAGCGTAGGATTAAAATTGGAATATATTTATTTTAGGCGCTGTAGTTGTAAAACACATAACAGTAGTCACACGTACCTCCAGAGGAACCTGCAGCATATCTCCCAGCTGCTTAGCTAGCTGCATATGGTAATGTGTACCTGATCCATGCGTTTCCCTGGTAACAGGGTCAGCAATACCCATACTCAGCAGATAGGACTTAAACCGGATGGTCTATAACGGAGAACATGATGGTTAATAAAACGCAAAACAACTCGAAACTGTGGGAGATTAAAAGAAAACAACACTTCATGTAATCACATTATTAGTCCGACGTGGTATAGAATACCTTATGATGAGTTATTATTTACAGTAGTTTAAACTATTAACATTGTTCTCCTGATTCCGGGTCTGATGCCGATGAGTTCATACCTCATCTTCTGTAATGTTTCCCTGCTTGTCTTTGATCTTGTTGGCTATAGATCTGGAAAGCTCCACCATCTCCTTGGCCTGTTTTTTAAAAGTAGACAATAACTCTCACTCCATAGCAGTTTTTGAGCTTAACACTGGATTGATATTCAAGGGTGTGATGTTCGAACAATCATACAACATAATGGTTAACATATAAGAGGGTAAATCACTCTGCGTTCAACCAACGACTACAGAAAAATATGAAGACACAAAGAAAAGCATTACTTACCTTCACCATCAGCTTACTGAGATCCTCAAAGGCCTGAAAAAAGAGATGGGGGATATGGCTCATAAAGAATTTCACAATTGAATAAAATATAAACACTTAATGGCTACTTTATCATGAAAGTCACAGTGACTGTGGTCAATTATTGGTTTGAGTTTTCGGTAGCCTTAAAAAAAAAATAGAGATGAAAACATGCACAGAAAGCTAAATCACTCCGTATTCTCAGTACGTTCAGTCATTTCGGCAGAACTATGACTAAACAATTGACTGGGAAGTTTGAGGAGACACATTCAGTATTTTGGCCTGAAAGTACCTCAGAGATATTTTTGTCCGTTTCTTTCCTCTTCTCCTCTATCTTCCTCTCAATGCCAACAATTCCAACGGCACGTGTTCTTCCTGTCTGCATGACCACAAAGGAAAGAAAAAGTCACGATCTGAAACACACATGCCCTTAAAAAAACAAAACAAAAAAACCTCAAGGGGCTAGGAAAGACAAACAGTGGGGAGGGAAGAAATTGTGGTCAAGTCCTGTCCTCCCAGAAATCAATTTTAGTGGCAATAATTTTACAGTGTTTATCAAAATTTCATCAAATCACCTTTGATTAAAGGACAGTAAACACAGAAGTTTATTTTTACTCAACCGTGAGTCCTGCTGTGGCATACTGCACTCAATTGGATGTCAATGACAAAATCAACTAATTGAGCGATTTGTGTCCTGATTAGATATCGGTGAATCGTCAGAGGCTGAAGTTCTGAGTAGACCAATAACATCATCATTCCCATTGATATAAAGACAACACTGCCATCCAGTGGCACATACAGTGAATTAATAGGCGGGTAATTCCCATGTATTTCCCCTAATGGAATGCTGAAAGGCAGTTTGGCAGATTCTACTCAGCTTGGACTGGGAGAGCGCATCTTTCCAGCTTCTAACCTGAGATCCGGTTGCTGTGGGGATGGGTTGAGAAGCCGGCGTACTTTCCCATCTCTTCTGAGTCATTTCTTCCGTTAGCCTCCTGTGAAACTGCAAGCAAACGACACAGCCAGCAGTGATAAATAACCGAAAAAGAGTTTCAGAATGCTCATTAAGACATGAAAAGGCAAAGCAGAAAGCTCTTTTAAATACTTGCACTACCTCGATCTGTCCGTGTTCTTTGAAGGACAGCTTGATGAAGGAGTACTTGCTATGTTGGTAGGGACCTGTTTCCTTGTTGGCAGGTGTTGCATGCAGGTGGATAATTATTTTTGCACTACAGAATAAGAGATGGTGATAAGTTTATTTACCAATTAATTATTTTAAATTGAAATTGATTGATTGTCAACATTTAATAGAAAATCATCACTACAGGCATTTTCCCCTGGAGATTTCAACTGCAGTTACCCAAACACGTCAAGTTCCATACTCTGATTACTACAGAGCCGTCTTAAAATGTTCTGCTCAGGTAAATCATGAATGTATTTCAAAGCCTGTTCTCTCATTTATGTTCAAATTTGAAAGATGTATTTATTGGCACTCACCTCTTTCCTATTCCTGCAGCCTGCTCCTCAAAGAAGACGATCTGAGACAGGGGCATGGCTATGCAGCATTCCTACAAGTGACCGAAGGAAATCCAGAAGTCATCATGAGAGACACACAACACGGGAAGAGACAAATCCGTGAAAAATGTCCCCCATCCTCTCGCAATCACTGTTTGTCTTACATGGTTTTTAACGTCCCTCCAGATCAACCGATGGGTGCTCAACAAGGCAACCCCGCTGTCAAGCTTAGCCTGGTCCAATGAGAGTACAGGGGGGTTATTACTTCCGTGTATTGCTTCAGTAATCACCATCATCAACATCATTTAGCTAACGTTCTCTTTATTAACGTTGTTCCATCGACGTTTTAGCCGCTGTGTTGTTGTTGCTGCTGTTGTTGTTTGTATGTCACAAACTTAGCTATCGGGAAACATAACTGTACCTTATCATCGCCGTCATACAGCCTGATACCTCGCTGCTGGATCACTAAAGTTTCGTTTATTTCCAGGAGACCATTTGACCATGAAAAGCGGTCCATGTTTAACTATTGCGAAAAAACGTCTGTTGTCTGTTCTGCTCTACTGCTGCTGAGCAAAGATATTGAGAACCATTTTTATGTTTACTTCCTGTACGCTCTTGGGGCTGGCCCTGCCTGTGCCTGCTGAAGAAAACTAAAACAGAACATGAAATTTACGTATAAAATCATAATCGATTTAATCAATGGTTATTTTACCAGTTAGTCAAACGTTAGCGCTATTGATCCAGCAAAACTAACTTTCATTCTGACGTAGCTTCAAACCGCGGTGCGTGGTGTCTTTTCCGACAGGCTGCCTTCAACAGGGGTCCTTTCGACTGTTGACGTTAGTAGCGCCAGCTGTCAGGGGAAGTTAGCAAGACTGCTAACCTTCCTAGCGCGTTATTTAAAAAAATTGTAATGATGTTCCAGACTATATGGTAATCATCGCTAGCACTGGATTTATCCTAAATTCAAATGAATTTATGTGCAAAAGAATCCGTCTCTCCCGCGGTCTTTTTGTTGAGTTGTGCACAGAAATAAGGATTGCTGTAGCTGGCTAGCTTGTTGTTAGCTGCGGACAAATCTGGTGCAGGCAGGTTTTGGACTGCAGACACAGCTTCTCTTGTTTGGAAGTCATTGTTCGGGAGCGGAAAGTTGTATTTTACAGAAGGACTTTAAAGAACTTGCTGCTTTATTACGGAACGAACGGACTTACTGCAAAATGCAATGCTTTGAATTATGCTTTTTTAGCATTATGAATTTAAACCAGTAGCGCTGGATGAGTAGCATGGTATTTAGACTTTAGGTCAATCGACTGCTTTCTACCCCAAATCTACTGCATTGTTGAACGCGTATTTACCGATCGCATGGTATATTAACTATTTATTGACCAAGGAGCGAACGCCTGTTTTAATCCACAAACATGGATAAGAAATCCTTTGACATAGTCTTGGATGAAATAAGAAAGGTAAGGAGCGTATGAGCCCAAATTGCTGACCGATACAACCGCTGATTTCTGTCCCACTTTAAAAGGTTTGGCAATGCTTCGTTCTGTGTTTTAGTGCGTGCTGACCGATCAACGGATCAAAGCCATAGAGCAGGTGCACGGGTATTTCTCCAGTGAGCAGGTAACGGTCCAAACAGCAACACCACGTGCTGCCTCTTATCACACTGGACCGACAGGGTTCCCTGCACATGTTTTGCTACATGAATGCATGCTACAATTTGATCAATAGTGGTGGTGGCGGTCAAATTTGTATTTGATTCTACCGCAATAGAGCAGTAAAAGTCTTATGTTTAATGTCTTGTACATTTGCAGGTGATGGATATACTGAAATATTTCTCATGGGCAGAGCCACAGATCAAAGCAGTTAAAGCTCTGCAGCATGTAAGTAACAAGTGTTTTGAGTGATCAGCAACAAGTTTGGGTTTGCTAAATATATTTGTGTTAGTGGATATAATTTGATTGGGTAAAGTCAACACCAATAATAGTGAGGTGTGAAAATGTCATCGTTTTGTGTGGTATTACCACTTTGGTGTGTTTTTAAAGTGTGAGTTAATCATGTTTCTCCATCTGTTAGAAAATGGTTGCAATCCCTACAACCAAAGTTGCAAACATCCTGAATTGCTTCACTTTCTCAAAGGACAGACTGATTGTCCTGGAACTAATTGCTTTGTGAGTACTTTCTGAAAATGCATTTCAGCCCCCTGGAAAGATGTTTAAACGGACGTCAAATTTCGTAACATCAACCGATTGGGTAATTAGTGATTTGTTCAATATTGATTTATTTTCCCATACAGGAACATTTCAGATGCCCAAAATTTTCGTCCTGTGGAAGATCTGTTTCGCATACACCTGTCAGAGAAAAAGCGAGCTCGCAGGATACTGGAGCAAGTAAGTTCATCTATAGAAATTGAATTTCATTGTGTTTTAGGTAAGTAAGTATAGAAACCCTATTTGTTAATTGTATGTCTTAGTATGAAAACACACTGTGGTAGCAATAGGGAATAATCCAATTGCAATTAATTGATGCAATTTAGAAATAATAAGTAATGCTTTTAGAATGTTAACTTGCACATGTTGATGCATTATCTTTCACATCCCTAAACAAAAAATACAAGAAGATACGCAACATTTCTAAACTTTCTAAAACACTTCTGTGTCACAAGGTATGTAAGGTTGGCTGCAAGGCTCCTGTAGCCATGATCTCCTCCTGCGGTATGATACCAGGAAATCCCTACCCTAAAGGTAGACCCAGCCTCGTCAGCGGCACATTTCCTGTAAGTATATGCGGAGCTATTTATTGAGCAAAAAGCCTAGGCTAAGCCTAAGGCTATGAACAAATAGCCAAAGGTGATAACCCATTATCATATCATGATGACATATTATATGTCTTTTTTAATAGAAGATCCAGCAAACAATTGACACACACGTTGTCTGCAGACACGTTGTCTGCAGACACGTTGTCTGCCCAAAATAAGCTTGACTTTGTTTTTTGTTTTTGACCACAGGGAATTCCTCCAGTAAAGAAAGAAGCAGAAAAGAAAGATGACACTTCTAACAATTTTGAGGGGAAAGGAATTTCCGCTCGCATCATTGGACCTTTCAAACCAGTAAGCACTCGAATGACTGGGATGATGTTAACAGCAGCAGGATGCCGCAGACAAACCTAAGTTACTCACCTAAGTCCTCACATGACCCAATCACAGTGGCAACGCTTAACAAAACCTTCAACTTGCATGTCATGTCGTGTGACGACCATCCTAAAATATGAGGATGTTGTATTAAAACCATAAGCTGCATAAAATACCTTACATTGTTGGGTTTAATACCGAGCAGCGGTATGGTCTTTGGTCTTTGGCGGCAGAGGGGGGGTTCACCCGGTGGTTAACAATATAAAATCAATGTGTAACTTTCCTTTTTTATATTGCTTTTGAAAACTTGAATGCTGATCAGTTATGAGACTTACTCCTTTTTTTTCTTATTTTTCTAGTTTCCGTCGACCTACAACCCTCATCGGCCTGTGCCCTACCCTATACCCCCGTGCCGACCCCACGCCACCATCGCACCAAGTAAGGAATGACCCTCATAAACCTACTTACCCCCCCGCCCCCGCCCTGTAATCCAGCACTGTATCTTCTACCTGTGGATGATAAGAACACCGATATACCAGATAGAGGATTTAATAATTCTGCTTCCAGGGGTTTTAGGTACAGTGAAGCCTGTTTTTTTTTTTTTTTTTTTCGCACTACCTTCTGGGTAGAGTTAGCAGCGGGGTGCGTCGTGCGTGTAAACCCCACATTTGTATGCGTGTGTGAGTGTAGAAATGTAAGGTGGATGCCATTAATATGTGTAACTACTACCTCAGGTGCGTACAACAACGCAGGCCTTGTTTCTGTGGGAGGGGTTATAACAACCAGCGTGGCCCCTCCCCCCTACAGCTCCACCCACAAAGTAGCAGGTATGATTTGTTGAAAGCCCACGCACGCTTGTGTGTGTGTGTGTGTGCGAGAGAAGTGGACAACTCTGTGGCATGCTGCTTACCTGCGCTTATCAAGTTTGATGCCTTTTTATCAGGTGAAGAATCCGCTTACTTCTGGAGTGCACTGAGTGACCAGAAAAATACACAATGTTGTACATTTCAGTGCAACCCAATGCAGAGCTGTGTACTGGACCCCATTGTTTTAGAGCTGTTGGAGAGATTTTTTGGGCCTGCATGTCACCATGTTAGGTTGCTCGCTATGTGATGGATAGCGAGCAACTACAACTACATTTCTGATATTTGATATAGTCCGTTATTTATTCAGTAAATGTGTAGGTGATGAAGTCAAAGTGGATAATTCGATATTATTAGTTTTTCTGTGTAATAAAGTCTTAAGCGCAAGGTTTTATTATTGCATGGGAGTGCAACTTAAAGGTACTTCTGTTTTCTGGTCAGTCAGTGTGAATTGTGTGGATGGCTCTGCTGCAGCGCGGACCAGGAATAGCTTTTAACTAATGTCTTTAATAGTTTTCTTTCTGGAATCATGCAATGTGCCAGCATTTAACTTTCATTGCTTGGTATTTTTAACACACCTTTGAGTTTGAAATGCATCTTTTAGGGCCTTTTGGGGAACATGTGGTCACACCCAAAAATACATCTCAAGTTGTATTAAATTGGCCAATGTCCAACGCTGGGTTGTGATCAGCTCAGTGTGATGAGAGTGAATGTGCAGTTAACAAGCCAAATGCGTTAATGTCGTCATTCCCCAAACGTAAGAAGAACACATGTTCCAATCGTGACATTTCCCATTATTTCCATAGAATAAGTTGCACGCCACAGGGATGCTCTCTGGCTATTCTTCCTTGCTGTGTCTCTCCTCTCATATTTTAGATGTGAGTGCATTGCTGCTTCTGCTATAGCTCATCTGGTTTTAACCTTTTCTGTCTGCGTCCTGGAACCACCATTTCGGACGATGTCATTATTTCAGATGATCCTTTTTCGTTAACTTTGCTTTCATTTTCTCCCCCCTCAAGGTTACGCCAAACCAGGCAATCCGCACAACACCACCCCTGGAGTCAACAGCGGACCCCTCCTCATTCCTCACGGGTCCACGCCTTCTACCCCCGTCCCACCGCAAGCTTCTCCTGCTCAGCCACCTCCCACCACTCCCATCACGCCGGTGTTCCCCGGCATGGTTCCCTCTCACAACCCCAATGCCCCTTCTCACTCCCCGGCACCGTCCCCATCCGTGATCAAAGCGGGCCCGCAGACGCCCAGCGGCCACGTCACGCCAACACCCTCGTCTGTCATTAAAGCCCACACGCCTTCAGGCACCCCGTGTGGGACTCCCGTCCCCGGCAGCGGGGGCTTCTCCCCTTCCCCCTTCCATGCCGTCTCCCGGCCGGGCACCCCCGCTTCCGGCCGCGGCGGCCAGGACCCTTTATCTCAGACGACTCAGCAGAGGGGCTTCTCTCAGTCCACAGATCACCAGTCGGGACCCGTCCACCACGGCATGGGTAACGCCTCCGGGTCAGTGATCCGGAGCTACACCCCCTCTGGACAATCGGCTCCAGTTATTCCCAGCTGTTCCACCCCGGGTCCCAGTCCCAAACCCTCCCCGGCTCATTCGGGACAAATTCACGCAGCCATGGCCGCGGCCGGAGTGCTGAACAGGCACAGCGGGGGCAGCAACAGTGGCAGCAACAGCCCGGTGCCCTCTGCTTTCAAGGGCACGTCCCGCTCCGGCACCCCCTCCGTCGGCTCTTACGTGGTGCAAGGCTCCGCCCAGGCCGCCCTGGCCCGTTCCTTGGGCCTGTCGCACCCCTCGGGCTCGGCTCAAGTCTCGCTCTCCAGTCCCGTCGCCCTCAGCGGCTTCCAAGCTCTGTCGTCCAGCCCCTCGCCCTCCCATTATCCCGGCCTGTCCCCCTTCTCCTCCCTCTCATCCTCCCTGCCGCCATCCTCCATGCAGTCATCCATGTCCGCGATGCCCCCCACTACCAACATGTCTAACCACCCACCGACCTCCATCTACTCGGGCCTGGGCCCCAACTCCGCCTCCGGTGCGGCCTCCCCTTTCGGGCTGGGGCTTACCTCTGCCGCCTCGTTGTTCCCGGGCCTTCCTCCCGGCGCTAGCCCCACTGGTTTCCCAGGGTTGGGGGTTTCGGGAGGGCACGGTGCCGGCAGCCCCGTACTGTCTTCTTTCATGGGCCTGCAAGGCGCCTCTTCGGCTTCAGTGGCGTCGGTGTCGCCACTGCAGGCGGCGGCGGCGGCTGCAGCGGCGGCGGCCGTAGCCGGGGTTCCGTCATCGTCGCCAGTTTTGCCTGGCTTTGCGTCTGCTTTCAGCTCCAACTTCCAGCCGGGGTATGTGGGCATGGGGCATTTTCACTGTCCAATATTCAGAAGCCATGTCACATGATCTCGAATACACCTGATGATTTGACTAAAATTGTTTTAATTACAAAATCTACTATCTACTAAATCAAAATGTATGTATGAGAGTAGACACTTTTTTTTTTGTGGTAATATGGTTGATTATGTAGTTATCACACTTTTCTATGTGTTCATATTTGTTCTATTTTGTTTCTGCATTTCCAGTAAACATTAGTAAATAGTAAACACTATTTAGAATATAAAATATATTTTTTCCTAAAGAAAGAGAGAGAAAGGGGCATCATACATCATGTGCATTGGTTTTCCATTATTGGTTTTATAAGTGGAAACACTGCACCCAAGTGCAAAGTCCACTTGTACTCCTACTGAGGAGATTCAGGCCCAGCCCTTGGTTCTTGTAATCATCTTTCTGAGTCGGCTTCCCCTTAATTGTTGTCAACCTCATATTTTCCACGTGATCTTGTCAGTGAACCAGTGCGAAAGCCTCACCTTTTGTCTACATTTCATACACTCAACAGTGGGTTAAGAAAGCCATTAAATGAGATATAAATGTGATGATAAATATTAAACGTCAAATATTTTTTACACAAAGATTTTAACAGATCCAGAATCCTGTTGAAAAGTATACTTTTAGAATCAGGATCACTTTGAGTGGTGATGACAGTAACTATTTTGCTATTTTACAGGTTGAGCAGTGGACTCCAGCCTCCGGGAAGCAGCGGGTTCCCCGGCTTGCTTTCCTTCCCCGGGGTGCCGGGCTTCTCTCCCTCGGCCTCTCCTGCTGCCCTCGGTGGCCTCCACAACCAAGCCATGCAGTCTGCCCTCCTGCAGGTACCTGCACGCGCACGCGCACACACACACACACACACACTTTACACTCAGAGTAAAATAATTTGAATGCTAGTTTGATGAAGCCTTTAAAAACACAGCTTTCCCATGTCTTGTTCCAGGCTCATCCCCAATCTGCGCTGGACGGCTTCCCCCCTCAGCCCAACAGTTTTACCAACTACCCACCCGGCCCAGGAAACCCCTTTCCCCTTCAGCCAGGCCTGCACCCGCAGTTGGGTTGGCAGTGAATCCCACAATGAAACATTGAGTACACTTTACATGTCCATCTGGCGTACACGCTTTTTTTTTTTTTTTTTGGTCTCCGATTGAAGAGTCTCTGTGATGTTACAGCCAGACTCTTTACTACAAGAAAGATTATTGTGAAAACTGTTGAAATAGTATCTCGGGGGGGCTGCCATATTTCCTATATTATTCATAGTGAACAGTTGTAAATATCTGTTTAGGTTTTAGACCATGACAGTTTTAAATGCTACCCGGACTGGGCTGCTTTTTAATCAAGTTTATCAACACTTGTTAGTGAATAATTAAATTGAAAAAATGTACATGATATCATGTAATGAATTGTCAGTATGGTCATGTAGTGTTTAGTGTAGTCACAGTAGAAAGGACGTGACATGAATTCTTTTGGTGACTTATGTTGTGCGCTACAGTTTTCTTTTAAGGTGGGAACATCGACAATGTTTTTGAATCCCCGTTTTGGTGTCCGGGGGGGGATATGTTGATCGACGTATGGACTTAAAATATTAAATGTCTATATTGTTGGTAATGCTCTCTGCGACGTTACTAAACTGTAATTTTACCTCATTTACTGTAAACCTTTGAACACTCAGATAATAGACGATCTGTTTGATGCCCTGTAGTTTTCTTTTTTTCTGTTGACACCTGTTTTATTATTTAGTCAGTAAACTGCTGCCGGCTGTTGCTGTATCTCTTTTCTGTGCCATGAACCTTTTTTTTTTTTTTAATGAAATATGCAAGTCACAGTTTTGAATTGAAAATACACAGCGCTAAAAATGCTATTTGCAATAGTAGAGAGTCCTCTTTATATAGATTTTTTGTCAAAGTCTAAACTAAATGTTAACAGCCAGAGGAAAAACTTACTTAAAAGGATAGTTGTTAAATATTACAAATGCTGCCTCAAAAGTGACTTCAGAGTTAATATGCACTTGATAGTCTAGTTCCTGTTACTCTATTCAACCATCTGTATTGTAACAGTTTTACAGGCCACTTAGAGTTAATTTAGAGCTTTGAACATTGCTTATCACGATCATCTCTTTTATTGCTAAGTGATGCCATCAGTCATGTGTTAATTAGTCACGGGAATCCGACACCCAGTCATGGGAGCGTTTCCATTTTCCATTACTCACGTTTTCTTTTTTTTTCACATTCTAGCCACATTCTCCCAACTGGCTTATTCATTAACTTGCCTTACGATACATTTATGATACATTTATTTTGTTTCCATAACTTGGTAGTCATTTCACCCTGTAGACCTTTCACCTTGCTTTTTATTTCTGAAGGAACTTAGTGTAATTCAAGCAACAACAGCAACAACACAAAAATCTGCATCTTTTCAGTGTTTGGTTCTTCTTTTGTTGTTTCTATGGATTTGAGATGCATCTTGTGGGTATTAAATTGTTCACAACCCATCGATAACTCTCTGTCAAAAGTAAGTAGCTCATTCCAAGCTTTCAGGTAATATTTCCTCAATCAAAAAATGTGAAAGGAGGAAGAATATACTTTATTTACTGCTTCTGCACATTTAAATACGTTACAGACACAACAGGTCAACATTATTTTCAGTGTGCAATTGGGTCGGTATTGTAAGATTAACAATGCTAAAGCGACTAAGATTAATGGTTGATGATCAACTCAACTGCGTAAGAGCCACACCTTCTCTGAGCTATGTAATAAGCACCAGAGCTTTAAAAGGCTGGATCACTCCCTCTCACTCAGATGCGCTTCAACAGACTCACAACACACTTCCCCTCTCAGTTGTAACCAGCACATGGAAATGGAGGACCAGATGGAAAGCCAGAAGAGAAGAGGAACCAGCAAAGACGATTTAATATGTAAGATCGACCACGTTTGGCTTTAATGTATTTTCTTCTAAGCCGTAATGCTACATAACGCCTTGCGTTAATAAGTAATGATTATTGTGTAAAGCGTGTATACACAAAGGAGATGTTTACTTTTCCATGAAACTTGAGATGCGGGTTGTTTGTCTGCCGTCGTGTGAGCAGGAGGGTATTCTGGTGTGATGCTTACGTAGGAGCTCACCTGTGTGGGTAGAATGCAGGTAGAGAGGCTCGGGGCAAAGTAGAAGTCCGTTGTTATAGAGATAGAAAATCACATGTCGCTGAGATCAGAGTCCCAAAAGCATGTGACCCGGAGGGTTTGTGCCTGTGCGTATCCACGCGCTGAGAAGTCAGGGGAACAAGGAGCTGTCATCTCACACGGTTGACTTTTGTGTAAATGTCCCTTTATTTGGTTGCTGATAACGGCTCACTTTCGTATCGCGTCGAGTCCTTTTAAGCATCACAAACCTGTAGAACAGGATTATGTGTCATAGAGACGGTGTACACATCGTTTACATGCGTCCTCTTTCACTCAGGTGTTTGTTTCTCTGCAGCTGTTAAATTACATGAATGCACAGATTATGTGGACATAGTTGGTGTCATGTTCCTATTGCAATTTTTTCCATCCAAATAGGTTTTAGCAATATTTTAAAACTATTTTATTGAATAAAATATAGATATCTAATCATATGGGAATATAATTTGCACACACTGATGTTTCTGAAGTGTGGTGCGACAGTACAATTTTCTTTTGTTCAACAGCAGGAAGCTATTGTGGTTTGACCAGGAAACAGAAAATACTTTTGCTTTAATTGAAATGTGTTAAAAGAAAATTACAAGCAAACACACCTTTCTCTTACTTGATCTTATGCAACCACAAGCATTATTACAGCCATGTTTACCGAGCATGTCTCTCGCGATAGTCTCTCGTTATGTAAACTGCCAGTATTAATGTTAGATTTACCTTGTTAAATATTGATAGTGGTTCAAACCAATATTCTAATGACATTTCAGGACAGTATTAATTGTAAAAATGCTATGTCTGAAAAATGAAAATGTTTCTTAACTCCTGTCTAGTTACAGGGTGCCTCATTATGCACGTGAATAAGGTATTTTTCCTTTTGGATGCAAACCTCTTCCCATCTCTTTCTTGGCTCTAACTGGGAGTCTCCTTTTCATGTGTGTTTTAGTTTTTAATTCCCAGTATGTTTAACAAACACTGTTGTCTCCCTCTCTCCAGCCGAACAAACAGGGTCTTTGGGATGCGTTGGTTGGTTCATAGTCATACTCTCTGGCATGTTCACCCTTCTCCTCTTCCCCTTCACCATCTGGTTTTGTCTGAAGGTGAGTGACCTACAAAAAAAAAAAAGTGCGCATAGTGGATTGAATAGCAGAAACCGCTATTTCCTTTGCTGACAGTTTGAATGTGATTGGAGCTTGTGCTGTGTTCTTGCTGCAGATTGTGCAAGAGTATGAGCGCGCTGTCATCTTTAGACTGGGACGCATTACCGACAGGAAGGCCAAAGGACCAGGTACAAAGTTAACAATGTTGGATTGGATTCATTCCAGATGCAATTTAGTGATTTAAAGTTGACTTTTTCCTCCAACCATCTGTTTGTCTGCAGGAATTTTCTTTATTTTGCCATGCACCGACTCAATTGTGAAAGTGGATTTGCGAACAGTTTCATTTGACATCCCACCACAAGAGGTAGAAAGTCGACGCGAAGAGCGAGACAAGTTGATTTTAGTTGTAATCCGCGGGCACTCACAGTCACACTGTCATGCTTCACTCCTCTAGATCCTGACCAAGGACTCGGTTACAGTTTCCGTGGACGGAGTGGTGTACTTCCGGGTCAGTGACCCCATTGCCTCAGTGGCCAACGTGTCTAATGCCGATTCCTCCACCCGTCTGCTGGCTCAAACCACCCTGAGAAATGTCCTGGGGACGAAGAACCTGGCTGAGCTCTTGTCCGACCGCGAGGGCATCGCTCACAGCATGCAGGTACAGGAACTGGGTTTTGCTTTGCTCCCCTTCGCTCTTCATTTCTAATGGTCAGAGTGACGCGCGAATGCATCATCAATCGATGGCACGGAAGCTGCAGGTGTGTAAGCTCCTCCCCTTTCCGTCTTTTTCAGTTCAACCTGGATGAAGCCACGGACAACTGGGGCATCAAGGTCGAGCGTGTGGAGATTAAAGATGTGAAGCTGCCGCAACAGTTGCAGAGAGCCATGGCCGCCGAAGCAGAAGCTACACGAGAGGCCAGAGCCAAGGTACGGACGTGATGAAATGTAGGGTCACAGTACATGCATGGAGTGTGAGCACATTTTCTTTTACTGTAAAACCCAATGTAGGCCATTTTCGGGACGCGATTATTGTGAGCCATCCTAATGTCCCTTTGTCGACCCACGTGTAGGTGATTGCAGCAGAGGGTGAGATGAATGCATCTCGCGCCCTGAAGGAGGCGTCCATTGTGATCTCAGAGTCTCCGTCGGGCTTGCAGCTGCGCTACCTGCAGACTCTCAGCACCATCGCAGCGGAGAAGAACTCAACCATCATCTTCCCCTTGCCCATGGATATCATATCTCACTTCATGAAGAAGTGATACCTCAGTTTGTTCGCCCGCTGAAGTCACTGTCAAATCAAACTGGAATCGGATGGAGACCAGGGTATATTTCTGAAATAAACTCTCAGGACGCGAGACGATGCTATTTCTTTAAAAGGATCATAGAAATAATTTTATAGTTTACATTTTAGCCTAGCCGGGGTCCAGGCCTGCTCTCAATGTGATGTAGATTAGCATACTTTCCCATGTCACGTTTATTAGGAAACTTGTATCATATTTTGTTAGAACTATATAACAGTTTCTATTTCATATCATATTATGTAATGCTCAGTTATATATTTTCATACTTAATTAAATATAAAGTGTTTAAAAATATGTTATCTCAATATATGTATGCAAAGTGAGTTTGTGTTTTCGTCACTGTTGTGGATTGTGGTAACCAAACCACAATCCACAACATGTTGTTGAGACAAAATAAACTTGAATCCATAGTTTGCCAGAATACATTGAGCAGATAAACACACGAACCTTTGAGTGAACAACAGGACTGTTGACGGCGCGTGAATTTCTTGTATATGTTTTAATACCGTATTCTCCCCAAAAAGTACAAATAAAAGCATAGACATACTTTGTATACATTACATGTTGAACTTTCCCGTTTCTCGTCCTCTGGGGCCTTCTACGCTATGGTTACTATTGGACCATCACAAATTCAGAGATGAGAAAGAAGAGAAAGGCGGAGACAGGAAAAACATGCTTCTATTACTTTGTTGATGCACTAAGACACGACCCATGTTGTAAATGTATTTACATTCAAACCTACAATCAGTGCCAGAAGAAACACATCCAGTGAATGTTGTCTCCGCCTCCACAAATTCAAATGATGGAAACATTTATCACATCATTATATACATTATATTCATCAGCATTTAAACCTGAACACGGGCCTTTCAATGACCCATGTTTCTTGTGGGGAGGCTCAACTAGGTGCTACATATTAAATGGCTGCTACATAGCTGTTGTACAAGATGTCCTTCTATGTCAGACAAAACCACATAAATGACTTGTATAAAATGGCGTCATTACATTTTTGACATTCAGCGCAGAGTGAGACGCAGATGTCCACAGGACACATTGAAGGGTTTTTGTTAAGAAATCTTTCAAGTCCATTCAATAGTCAAATATTAATTTAAGAAGAAATTTGAGACTATGCTGTTTTTTGTAAACAATTGTTTTTTTTGCATCCTTGTAGAGTTATTATTTTCCTCGCACATGAAGTGACCCCCTGAAAGGTCATAGACTGATGTACAGTATCCCTAAAACATCCCTAAAACATTCAAACACACAGTGACTCTCTCACTACAATGTTCTTACAATTAGTCATTATGCAAAGACATTCTCAAAAATCCTTAGTGTAGGTATAAAATAGCTGTAAATTGAGATACATTTCTCAAATCCTATGCTATATTTAACATTCTTTTGTTCAAGGAGTGTTTTACCCTGTGTACGTATCATACAAATATCTCAAAGATCCATGAAAACATTTTTACTTTATCACGGCCATCAAAAGTGCTGGTATGGTAATTAAACATCTCCTTACAATTTTACTAAACCGGAAAACCAGCAACCCAGCAACGTCATCATTTACATGCTGGCAAAACTTTACTTTGCCTTACCATGTAACTTAACAGAGAAGCGCCTGACTAACCGTAACCCATGACCCCATTAGCGACGCCGCCGTGACTGCAGACAGCAGACTCACCCACATCCTTTCTCACTCCCATTATTGGTTTCTTTCCTGCAGCTCATTTTGCACGAGTAGTTTTTAGTAGTTTTGTCTGTTGACGTGTGAGCGGATCACTGAGATTAAACTGTAGCGTAGCTTACATTGAAAAAGCCAGGTGAAAGTTTAGACCCTGAGGGTAAGTTTGTCAGTAGAGTGCAGTAAAGGAAGCAGCTATATGACAAACCGTATGCTTTAAAATAACACTAATTTATCTATACCAAAGGTAGGTTCGTAATTTCTAAATTTAGAAAATAACTCCCTGAATGATATATTTGTGCATGACGAGGATGAAGTGTAGCTTCCAAAAACTTTGATAGTTATACTGTAAATTTAAGTGCTGATCAGATAAAGAAACCAGAAGAATCTGAAGAGGTTATTAAGAGTTTTACCCAAGTTCAGGAAGGGCGACACTTATCTTTGGATTTACAAAGAGGCCGGCCGAGGGTTTGCCTACGTGTATGCTGACGTAGCTTTTATGCCATTTCAACGCAGTCTCCCAAACACCACCTGTGTTTGTGGGATGACAACAAGTTAGTATATCTCCTCTCTCCTGTGGAGACCACTAATTTAGCTTTAAACCTCAAAATTGATAAATTAAAGTATACCACAGCAATAATACGTTTCACGTTAAGACTGGAAGACTTCCACAGTACATGCTTGCTAAGCAGCAAAATGCATGTAAATTTAAATAATTAAAATAGATAGAAATATCTCATTATCTTAAAGAAAATCACAAAAAGATAGTAAAAGAGTGTTTCCTGTGCACGGTTTCCCCTTCAGCTTTGAGCTCCCTACTAGTTGTGTGTTACTGAAGTTGTTGTTGAGCCACACACACAACACACAGCACGATCCCGCTGAGGAAAATTCAAAATGGCAAATAATTGACCTGAGGGATCCCAAAGGTGAAGAATAACTCATCGTGTGTCGATATGCTGGAGGAAGCCCTGGCAAAGGTTTGACCATTCACTCCTCTGGACGGCCTGTGTTACAACTATCAGCAACCAACTGATAGTTGGACACACCTCGTGTGTGGCTGAAAAACAGGATTCACAAGGTTTAAGGATCCAAAGTCCTTTTTAAAAATGAGAATGTTTGTTGTTCTCTGCTGGTGAGACGGCAGGTCCAGTATAAGGCGCTTTGTTGGGCATTTATTCCAGATAAAAAAAAGAATTGAGAAACTGATCCTATTGAGAGAGCTTATATATCTGATTCTATCGACAACACAGCTGTTTTTTTTAACACCAACGTGTCGTATTCTGGTGACAACAGTGTGCTACCTTCCACTTGTATTGTTTCCGTCGGAGCGGGACTCATGACTACTCATGACTACTCATGCAGGGAGCTTTCACTACGTGTCGACACTATCATACACTATCTACAGTTTGCATTACACAAGTTGGTGATCGGGGACAGAGAACTCAGCTGCAGTCCTCTACATCCATTTTCCATTACAAAGCTGTACAAAGCTATGTTTCACATGATGGACACCACCTGCTGTGAAGGCTTCTACATCACCCTCTGTGCTAAGACACCGCCTGTCCCGAGACTACAGTCCGTCCTCGTTGTTCTTCAACATGTGTCTCACATCGACAAAGAGGAAGGAGGAGAATTATGCAAAAGACTCAGATAAGAAAATAAAAGTGAGGCAGGGAGAGAGACAGAGAGACAGAGAGAGATAAAAAGAAAGATGTGAGCTTATCTCTGAAAAGAGCCGAGACAAGCGGCTGCGTTACAGCGATTGGCTGCCCCTCGGTGAGTGGGCGTGGTCGGGTCAGGGGAGCAATTGTGATTGCTCGCTGCTCTGTGAGTAGGCGTGGCCGGGCCAGGGGACATGTTTTGGTTGGTGGCGGCTCTGTGGGAAGGGGAGCAGTACTGGGCCTGCTGCAGACAGCCGTGGCAGTGGGTGGGGGAGTCACAGCCCGCCACGGGTGAGGCGGAGAAGAAGAAGGGAGACGAGGGGACGGGGGAGGTGGAGAAGGAGCGGTGGAGAGGCGAGGAGGCGGGGGACATGAGGGGGCTGGTCTGCAGACGCCAAAGGAGCTCGTCGTTGTTCCGACTCAGCCGCTTCTTCTCGGTGCTCTCCTTCTCCACTGAGTCGTGCAGGTTGGCGTTCTCCTCGGACAGTTGCCTGCGGGAACGACAGTACAGAAGAACAGGGGAAGCTGAACTTAGCATAAAGCGACAGTTTACATCCAGGCAGTGCTGTAGTGGTAAAATTAGAGGTGGGTAAACTCTGAATTTTGTGATCATACAGACCTCGACGCGATGCGAAGCAACGCAACACAAAGCGTCGCGACTCTGTAAGGCTGTCCTGGCTATATTGCATTATGTTATCAGTAAAAGTCAAATACAATCAATGACAATGAATACATGTGTGTAGTTTATTAAATGTTATTTAATTAATTTTATTATTTAATTTTATTAAGAAAACAGTTAAGTGAAGTATGTCAACACAACACAACAACACAATTGCAGATTAAGAACTATCTACATATGGAGTCTCCTTTTTACAGTAGTGCCCAGAGGGCCTCCTTGTCCTCCACGTCAGGTCCTGCCTTGCACAGAGGAGTGTGTGCTCCTCTCTCTATTGGACCTGGTGTTTCTCTTCTCCCTGTGCTCTCTGCATCATTGCCTGTCCTCTCACTGCCTGAACAAATATGTTGAATTTAAGAGTTAACCAGTTAAGCAGCCTGTCAATTACACTGACAACATAAGTTAAAGGAACACTCATGTACTACCTATGTCATCATAAATAGCCTATAAAGCATGTTTTGTTTTCACATTGAGAACTGACTTGTTTTCTAATCTACGTGTCACCAGGTGTTTTTCTTTTACCGTGCACGACCAGCGAACACAGAGCGCGCGACTACACCCCCCCCCCGTCGATCGTTCCGCCCGCAACGACTACTACCCCTCCCCCCTCCCCCCCGTCGGACCTTCTCGACCGGTCCGCGAAATATTGTCTGACATGAAACCGGTCCGTGAGGTAAGAAAGGTTGGGGACCGCTGGGCTGATCCACAGCGTGTGTGTGCCTCCTGGATCCTGATTGGTGTCGCTGCTGCAGCCGCAAGGCACTGATTGGATGCTCACAGACCGTAATACAGCGCAGATGAAAATGATTCAGACTACGGCGTTTATATGTTCAACAATAGGAAACGTAGTCTTAGCTGTTTTAAAATTACACCAAGTTTATTTCGGATTATTCCAACGGAAGAATACAAGGCGCAGGGAACTTTGAGGTGCGTAAACGCTATTTATAGGTGCGTAAACGCTATTTCCAAATTCTAGAGGTGCGTAAACGGCGTTTACGTGCGTTTACCCTCCACTACAGCCCTGCATCCAGGGGTTAAAAAGTAGGGATTGAATGCGTTTTACCTGGACATGACTAGGTTGTTTTCAATACGAGCCCTCAGATTCTCATTCTGCTGCTGCAGAACCTGGACCTTCTCCTCGAGGAACACGTTCTTTTGGGCCTGAAAATACAAACGCAGAAACAACGTGACATTCATTCACCACAAACACTGACCAACAATGCGTATCCAGACCCTTGTGTTTGCCGTTTTCAGCCCACCACTTTCTCCAGATCCGAGATCTTCTTCTCCTGCTGGTGTATCTGCTGGTTCTTCATTTCCAAAACCTCCTTCAAGCTCTTCAGGTCTTGTTCGATGTGCTGGTATGGAGCCAAAGCGTCCTGTTCCAAACAC